CTGGGAAGGTAGCAGAGGATGGCCCACGTGCTTAGGCCCCTGCACCCACATGGGAGACCCAGAAGAAACTCTGGCTCCTGGTTTTGATTTGGCCCAGCCCTAGCTGTTGTAGCCATTTGGGAAGTGACTCAGCAGATGGAAGATCTCTCTGTCTGTCCGTCTCTCTCTCTGTAACTCTGCCTTTCAAGTAAATAAATGTTATAACAAAAAAAAAAAAAAAAAAAAAAAAAGGAAGAAGTGAGAGTCAAGAGCCAGAGCTTCTTAACTGCTAGGCCAGACCTCCTCTGTGATGAATTTCTTATTTCTATAATTTTCTATTTAATACTTTTTCCATTTAATGATTTTTGAGTAACTGAAACCAAGGGTAATGGGGGTCTGTTATATATATAATTAGATGTTAGTGAGTGACACAAAGAATACACGGACTAGGAAGGGTTTAGCAGTATTTCTAGGTTGTGTTTTAACCTCACCTAACATAATTTTGTTTGCCAAGAATTAAATAACATTTTCATTTCAGTGTGCTGGCTTAATTTTGAAATGATACTTTCCTGCCAGAAAGCTTATCTAAACCTCCCCCACCCCCTTTTTAGTGTTTCTTTTCATCTACCTGAAAAGCAGAATGCCAGAGAGGTAGAGGGGGAGAATGCTCCATCTTCCATCTGCTGGTTCATTCCCCAAATGCCCACAACAGCCAGGGTTGAGCCAGGCTGAAGTCAGAGGCCAGAAATTCCATAGAGATCTCCCACATAGGTGGCAGAGGTCTAAGCACTGGGACTGTCATGTGCTGCTTCCCAGGATTCATTAGCAGGAAGCTGGATTAGAAGTTGAGTAACAATTTTTTTGAGATAGCACTTACTAGGTTTGTTTTCTTCTTTATTTTCCTTTTAAAATTGTATGGATTTGTCACGTATTATTTCTGTCTTAGGAAAGCGCCTCATCATCCTCCATCGTTAGCTGCAATTAATTACAAATGCTGTCTGAGAGAGGTTATGACAGATATGTTGTATGTAGGAAAGCAACAGGATGCAGATTCTGCTCTCAAGGGATTTTTCCTTGTTACTAGGAAATATACTGAAAAATTAAAGAGCAGTACCGTAGAGAGCAGGTGTTTAGCCCAGCAGTTAAGGTGCCTGCCTCCCATGTCAGACCACCTGAATTCAGTTCCCACTTCTAGCTCCTGGCTCCAGCTTCCTGCTAATGCAGATCCTGGGAGGCAGTGGTCATGCCTCAACCAGCTGGGTTCCTGCTACCTATGTGGGAGGCCTAGATTGAGTTTTTGGCACATGGCTTTGGCTCTGGCCCAGCACCAGCCATTGTGGGCATTTGGGGAGTGAACCAACCAGTCAATGGGAGCTCTCTCTCTGCCTCTCAGGTAAATAGGTAGATAGGTATTGATGGAAAACTTTAAAAAAAATACCCAGTGTGGGTGGGGGGACATGCGTTGTGGTGCAGCAGTTAAAGATGCCACCTGGAACTCCTGTATGCCATATCGTAGTGCCTGGGTTCAAGTCCCCACTCTGCTTTTGATCCAGCTTCTTTTCCCGGAAAGTGGCAGGTGATGACTCAAGTGATGGGTTTTCCTCCACCCATGTGGGAAGCCCAGATGGAGTTCAGGCTCCCGGCTTCAGGCTGGTGCAGCCTAGATGTTGTGGCCATTTGGGGATGAGCCAGTGGATGGGAGATTTCTCTGTCTCTGTGTGTCTTTCAAATAAAATAGCAATAATTTTTTTAATTTCTGTACTTTATTTTAAAATTTTTAATTGTGGGGCCGGTGCTGTGATGCAGTAGATTAAAGCCCTGGCCTGGAGTGCCGGCATCCCATATGGGCGCCGATTTTAGTCCTGGCTGCTCCGCTTCTGATCCAACTCTCTGCTATGGCCTGGGATAGCAGTAGAAGATGGCTCAAGTCCTTGGGCCCCTGCCACCCACATGGGAGACCCAGAAGAGGCGCCTCATTCCTGGCTTTGGATTGGCGCAGCTCCGGCCATTGCAGCCCTCTGAGGAGTGAACCAGTGGATAGAAGAGCTTTCTCTGTGTCTCTACCTCTCTCTGTAACTCTTTCAAATAAATAAAATAAATCTTTAATAAATAAATAAATAAATTTTTAATTGTAATTTTTAATTAGTTTTTAAGACTCAATGTGAATTTGTAGATAAAATTCTAAAAACATAATGATATTCCCTTCCTCCCTCCATCTGCTTCCTTTCCCCTCCCCGCACCGTCCTTCCTTCTCCCTTTTTTTAGTTTTGAGATAACATTTTAAATTTACATTGTAGTAAACAGGGTTAATACTTCACCATATAAGAAGTTTAACAAGTAAAAGTAAAAAGACTGCAGTTTTGTGGGAATATAGGCAATGGCTATACACAGTAATTAAATGGAAAAGTGACCATTTCACCTATAAACTGTAAATTTTAAAGTAATCACAGATCATTAAAACTATAATAATGTAGATTTTTTAAAGATTGATTTATGTGAAAGGCAGAGTTAGAGAAGGGGAGACAGATCTTCCATCCTCTGGTTCACTCCTCAATGGCTGCAATGACCATAGCTGGGCCAGGCCAAGCCAGGAGCCCCTACCCACATGGGTGCAGGGGCCCAAGCACTCGGGCCATCCTCTGCTGCTTTCCCAGGTACATTAGTGGGGAATTGGATCAGAAGTGGAACAGCTGAGAATTGAACAGGCACCCATATGGGATGCCAGCTCTGCAGGCCATTGCTTTAACCCATGGCACTGGCCCCGGTAGTATAACATTCTTAACCTTTGGTTTGACAAAGGTATAAAACAAAGATTAGGGCTGGCGTTGATGCGGCATCCCATATGGGTTCGAGTCCCAGCTGCTCTACTTCCAATCTGGCTCTCTGCTAATGCACCTGGGAAAGCAGAGGAAGATGGCCCAAGTCCTTGGGCCGCTATACCCATGTGGGAGACCCAGATGAAGCTCCTGGCTCCTGGCTTTGGCCTGGCCCAGCCCTGGCTGTTGCAGCCATTTGGGGAGTGAACCAGATCCTTCTTTTTCTATAACTCTGACTTTCAATTAAATAAATCTTTAAAAGATTTACAAATCCATATTTGCAGCAGTACTAATACACGTGACATTTCTTTTTTTGTTTGTTTTTTAAATTTTAATTCCCACATATAAGGGATAGCATGTGGTATTTGTCTTTCTGGATCTAGCTTATTTCAGTCCATGTGATGTCCTCCATTTGTATCCATTCTGCTGCAAATGATAGAATTTCATTCCTTTTTATAGCTGAATAATATTTCCATGTTATCCATTTATCTGATGATGGATACCTTGGTTGATTCTAAATTTTGGCTATTATGAACAAAGCTGCTACAGATATGGTGGTGCAGGTATCTCTTTGATACAGTGTGTTCAAGTCTTTTTGTATATATACCCATAGTGAGATTGCAGGGTCATAGGACAACTTTATTTTCTAGTTTTTTAGAAATCTTGGCCGGCGCTGCGGCTCACTAGGCTAATCCTCCGCCTTGCGGCGCCGGCACACCAGGTTCTAGTCCTGGTCAAGGCGCCAGATTCTGTCCCGGTTGTCCCTCTTCCAGGCCAGCTCTCTGCTGTGGCTAGGGAGTGCAGTGGAGGATCGCCCAAGTGCTTGGGCCCTGCACCGCATGGGAGACCAGGAGAAGCACCTGGTTCCTGCCATTGGATCAGCGCGGTGCGCCGGCCGCGGCGGCCATTGGAGGGTGAACCAACAGCAAAGGAAGATCTTTCTCTCTGACTCTCTCTCTCACTGTCCACTCTGCCTGTCAAAAATAAAAAATAAAAAGGGCCGGCGCCGCAGCTCACTAGGCTAATCCTCCGCCTAGCGGCTCCGGCACACCAGGTTCTAGTCCCGGTCGGGGCGCCGGATTCTGTCCCGGTTGCCCCTCTTCCAGGCCAGCTCTCTGCTGTGGCCCGGGAGTGCAGTGGAGGATGGCCCAGGTGCTTGGGCCCTGCACCCCATGGGAGACCAGGAAAAGCACCTGGCTCCTGGCTCCTGCCATTGGATCAGCGCGGTGCGCCGGCCGCAGCACGCTGGCCGCGGCGGCCATTGGAGGGTGAACCAACGGCAAAGGAAGACCTTTCTCTCTGTCTCTCTCTCACACTGTCCACTCTGCCTGTCAAAAAAAATAAATAAATAAAAATAAAAAAATCTCCATACTGTTTTCCACAGCGGCTGCACTAATTTACATTCCCACCAACAGTGTACAAGTGTTCTCTTTTCTCCGCATCCTTGCCAGCATTTGTTACTCTCTGTGTCTTGAATTTTAGTCATTCTGACAGGGGTAAGGTGATACTTCATTGTGGTTTTTATTAGCAGGGAGCTAGATCAGAAGTGGAGCATCCAGGACACATGAACTGGAGCCTTAGGGGGATGCCAGTGTCGCAGACAACACCTTAACTGGCTATGCCGCAATGCTGACCCCTCAGACATTATTCTTATTCCCTATTATAGATAATAATCATCTAAAGACCCTGTAATAAGAAATCTTTCAGCAAATTTTTTAAGATTTATTTTATTTACTTGAAAGGTGGCGTTATAGAGAGACAGAGGGTGAGACAGATCTTCCATCTGCTGGTTTACTCCCCAAATGGCTGCAACTGCCAAGACTAAGCCAGGCTGAAGCCAAGAGGCAGGAGATTTGGATGAAGCTCCCATGTGGGTGCAAGGAGGGGCCAAGCACTTGGGCCATCTTCCACAGCTTTTCCAGGCCATTAGCAGGAAGCTGCATCAGAAGTAGAACAGCTAGGGCTCAGGGCTGGAACCGGCACCCATAAGGGATGCTGGCATTACAGGTGGTGGCTTAACCTGTTACGTCACAACACCGGTCCCTCGGCAGACTTCTTGAAATTAATCTTCTGAAAATTGCTAGAAAATTTTTGGGGCCACTAAAACTGCAGACTTACTAATATTGGAGATGTTAGGGTTTCAGTGCTGAAAGCAAAAGGCAAGCTTTCCCAAGGCTGGAATAGGTGACTTTCCTTTTGTATTAGGCAACACTGGACTATGGAATGTATTCTCGAGAAGAAGAACTATTAAGAGAAAGAAAACGCATTGGAACAGTTGGAATTGCTTCTTACGACTATCACCAAGGAAGTGGAACATTTCTGTTTCAAGCTGGTAGTGGAATTTATCATGTAAAAGATGGAGGGCCACAAGGATTTACTGTAAGTTGGAATTATTGCTCGTTAAGTCTGTTTTGGGATCCTAAAGGTTATTTATACCCAAATCAAAAAGATTAATAACAGATAGAACAGAAACTTCAGTCTATCCACCAAAAAAAATAGTAGTGATAAAAAGAAAATGTATGTTACTAATTTTCCAATTTTAAGAGTTAATTTTCCAGTGACATTAAAATACAATTTTGAAATGCTAAAGCATTTGCTATTTAGGAAGATACAGTAAAGAGCATCAGCTCCCATTTCTGTGTGAGTACTGAGGGAGAGTTTGGAAGTTACTGTTGTCAAAAGCAATTCATTTTAATTTCCTGGAAAACTAATTTGTGTTCATAAATGATTATATATGTTTGGTTTTATTCTATGCCTTTCTTCATGTGCTGTTGGAACTATTCTGATAGAATTATGATGCTGGTTTCCATTACATTTTTATGAACAAACTTTTATGTTGTTAAAATTTAAAGTATTTAATATTCAGTGAATAAACAGTAAAAATATTTAATAAACAGTAATTGCTCTCTTAAACAGGCTGGGTCAGCAACATTTACAAAGTGCTATTATATTGTCTATTTCATCTCTTATAACCCTTGTAGCAGTGCTTGCTGGCAAAACAATGGGTATATGTAAGCGTAACGCTGCCTCCAAATGGTGTTTACTTTCCTAGCAACAACCTTTACGGCCCAATTTAGTGGAAACTAGTTGTCCCAACATACGGATGGATCCCAAATTATGCCCTGCAGACCCAGACTGGATTGCTTTTATACACAGCAATGATATTTGGATATCTAACATTGTAACCAGAGAAGAAAGAAGGCTTACCTACGTGCACAATGGTAAGGCGTAGTTCTTCAGATCTACTGAAAAGTGCTTTTAAAATTTGATTTGCTTTTGCCTGCATTTTGAAATTGAAGCAAGCTGGGTGATATTTATATTTTAAATTTAAATCTTTAGAATTTTAAAAATAGAGAAAATCACAGAGGAAAACTAATAGTTACTATCTGTGTAATGCCACTTTGTTTTAATGTTCATTTTGAGACAGTACAGCAATAGTGCCTTTGACATGAGTGTCCCTTTTATCTAATAAGACTGCTAGAATTTTCCCAACACTGTTCTTAAAAGAAAATTGTAATGACGGGGCTGGCACTGTGGCATAGTGGGTTAGTCCTTGGCCTGTGGCACTGGCAACCCATATGGGTGCTGGTTCTGGTCCCGGCTGCTCCTCTTCCAATCCAGCTCTTTGCTGTGGCCTGGGAGAGCAGTAGAGGATAGCCCAGGTGCTTGGGCCCCTACACGGGTTTGGGAGACTGGAGGAGGCTCCTGGCTCCTGGCTTCAGATTGGCTCATCTCCCACCATTGCAGCCATTTGGGGAGTCAACCAGCAGTGGAGGGCCATTCTTTCTGTCTCTCCCTCTCACTGTCTGTGACTCTCTACCTCTCAAATTAAAAACAAAAAAACAAAAACAAACAAAAAAACCTTATATAAAAATAAAAAATAAAATGAAATAAAATTGTAATAATACAACAAGTTAAGCCATTACTTATGATGCGTGCATTCCATCTCAGGGTGCTGGTTCAGTCCCATCTCCTTTGCTTCCAATCCAATTTTCTGCTAATGCACCTGAGAAAGCAACAAAGAACTATGCAAGTACTTGGCTCCCTAGCATCCTGTGGGAAACTCAAATAGAGTTCTTGGCTCCTGGCTTCAGCCTGGTGCAGCCCAGCCATTGCAGGCATTTGGGGAATGAACAAATGGTTGGAAGATCTCTCTGTCTTTTCCTCTTGCTCTGTCACTCTGCTTTGCTTGCTTGTTTCCTTCCTTCCTTCCTTCCTTCCTTCCTTCCTCCCTTTCTCCTTCCCTTTCCCTTTCCCTTTCCTATTTATTTGAGAGGTAGAGTTACAGATGGTGAGAAGAAGAGACAGAGAGAAAAGTCTTCCTGCCATTGGTTCACTCCCCAAACAACAGCCAGAGCTGCACCGATCCAATGCCAGGAACTAGGAGCTTTTTCTGGGTCTCCCACATGGGTACAAGTACTTGGGCCATCTTCTATTGCTATCCCAGGCCACAGCAAAGAGCTGGATCAGAAGAGGACCAGCCGGGACTAGAACCAGCACCCATATGGGATGCCGGCACCACAGACGGAGGATTAACCTACTACGCCATGGTGCCAGCCCCTCTGCTTTTCAAATAACTAAATCCTTTAAAAAATTGATTAAATGAAATTCTAATTTAAAACAGTAGTCTTTTTTTTGCGAAAAAAATAGAAAAATCAGTTACACTGTAAGAAACTGTCTGAAAATTTACCTTCCCATTTTGGAAAAACTAATTCATTATTTTCATAATAAAAAAAGCAGAATTTTGTAGAACTATGTGTATTGTAGAAATATATAATTTTCATTTAAGTGGCTATAACAATACTAAGCACTGCTCAAAAGAAAAGATGTTTTCTAAAGATATCTTAGAAATGAAAGATGGGAAATAGTGTTTTGCTTTTCCTTTGAACATGTGAAACAAAGTTTAAAATTAAGCTTCCTAATGAAGGGTGGTAACTGAAAATTCATTTGTTTAATTTTTTGTAATCTTAGTTACTCTGGTGTTTACAAAGCTCATTTATTGGTTATCTTCCTTAATTATCATCCCTTTTTCCATTAGTAGTTAGAATTTACTACCAACATTCTTTATGAGAGATTGTAACAGATTTTTTTAAAAAAATTTATTTTATTTATTTGAAAGACAGAGTTACAGAGAGGTAGAGACACAGAGAAAGGTCTTCCATCCGCTGGTTCACTCCTCAGAGGGCCGCAGCGGCCGGAGCTACGCCAATCCAAAGCCAGGAATGAGGAGCCTCTTCTGGGTCTCCCATGTGGGTGCAGGGGCCCAAGGACTTGAGCCATCTTCTGCAGCTATCCCAGGCCATAGCAGAGAGCTGGATCGGAAGCAGAGCAGCCGGGACTAGAAATGGTGCCCATATGGGATGCCGGCACTCCAGGCCAAGGCTTTAACTCTCCACGCCATGGCACTGGACCTACAGATACGTTTTAAGTGGGAAAATAAAGTGATGCAGATTCTGCTCTCAAGTTTTTTTTTTTCATCTAGTTAAGAAATATGCTGAAAAAGTTAAATGCAAAGCCAAGTATGTAAGAGAGATAGTAATTCCTCTAACAATTTAGAAAAACTGTGATAACTGCATGCCAAAGCAGTTCAGGAAACTTTGCTAGCCAAGTTTTAGTTTGATTTAAATTATTTTTTAAAGATTTAATTGTTTATTTGAGAGGCAGAGTTACAGACAGAGAGAGGGAAAGACAGAGAGGTCTTCCATCCACTGGTTCACTCCCCAAATGGCCATAACAGCCAGAGCTGGGCCAGGAGCTTCTTCCAGGTCTCCAACATGGGTGTGGAGGCCCAAACACTTGGGCCATTTTCCGCTGCTTTCCCAGGCCATTAGCAGAGAGCTGGATCAGAAGAGGAGCAGCCGGGACAGGAACTGATGCCCATATGGAGTATCAATTTGTTAAGTCAACAACAGGAGTCACTGTGCACTTACTCCTCATGTAGGATCTCTGTCCTTAATGTGTTGTACAATGTGAATTAATGCTATAACTAGTACTCAAACAGTACTTTACACTTTGTGTTTCTGTGTGGGTGCAAACTGTTGAAATCTTTATTTAATATATACTAAATTGATCTTCTATATATAAAGATAATTGAAAATGAATCTTGATGTGAATGGAATGGGAGAGGGAGCGGGAGATGGGAGGGTTGCGGGTGGGAGGGAAGTTATGGGAGTGAAAAAGCCAATGTAATCCATAAGCTGTACTTTGGAAATTTATATTTGTTAAACAAAAGTTAAAAAAAAGAATTGTATCTACAAATAACACTGAATCTCATAAAAAACTAATTAAAATAAAAACAAAAAAGGAGTAAAAAAAAAAGAAAGAAAAAGAAACACAGGGCTAGAGGCAGGGACAATAAAGCTTGACTCATAACAGTTATCCAAGTTATGTGGCCTAATAGTGGAGCATGGCCTCGAGAAAAAGGGACCGAGTTGGGAAAATCTTAGGTAAAAAGTGCAGGTTTTAAGCCGGCGCCGTGGCTCAATAGGCTAATCCTCCACCTTGCGGCGCCGGCACACCGGGTTCGAGTCCCGGTTGGGGCGCCGGATTCTGTCCCGGTTGCCCCTCTTCCAGGCCAGCTCTCTGCTATGGCCAGGGAGTGCAGTGGAGGATGGCCCAGGTGCTTGGGCCCTGCACCCCATGGGAGACCAGGAAAAGCACCTGGCTCCTGGCTCCTGCCAGGATCAGCGCGGTGCGCCGGCTGCAGCGGCGGCCATTGGAGGGTGAACCAACGGCAAAAAAGGAAGACCTTTCTCTCTGTCTCTCTCTCTCACTGTCCACTCTGCCTGTCAAAAAAAAAAAAAAAAAAAAAAAAAAAAAAAAAAAAAAAGTGCAGGTTTTAGTGTTGATAATGAATCTCTTTGAAGTCAGGAAATCAGAATAGCTACCAGCAATAGAAAGATTAGGTTGGTGGTTGATCTGTATTAGAAATCCTGGCTTTTTTCATGATTTTAGTAAAATTGAGCAGTGACTGTGAACCAGTTACTGTGCTTGAGGCTGACCTGCAAAGCTCTGATGTAACTTGAGTGAATTAAGGCAGTTTCTAGTCTTCTTTTTCTTCCATAAAGTCATTTTCCACTTAGAATTTGTGACAGCTGGCTGAATTTAAAGTAGGAAGCATTGGAACCCTGCAGGACATGATAGTAGTGTTTGTATGCTTTTCTTTCCCATGCATGTAGCTATGTTGTATACTTACTGTTTTCAGAATTTGTGTAGTGACTAAGGATAAAGATAGAGAATATAGAATAATATAATATCAACTATGTAGGTCGGAGTCCCACATTTATTAACTCTTTGGCCTTGAGCAGGTTGTTTAATGTGTCTCTTAATTTCTGTATGTATAAACATATTAATTAATAGCACATCCAACCTAGGGTTATTTATGAGGCTTTAGCGAGTTAATATTTGTGAAGTGTTTAGAATGGTGCCTGAAACCATAAATGCCATTTGAATATTTGTTTAGCTAGGAAGATACTTAGGAAATGAGCAGCATCAACTTACTCTGTTTACTCACAATATGAAGTTTCCAAGTGCAAGTCCACTTCAGAAACGAGTTCAGTCAGACAGCATGTGCCTCATGTGATAGAGGAATTCCAGAATAATTAAACAATAGCCTCTGATCTCAGATGACTATTGTAAGGACAGAATTTTACTATTTGTTAATTTAATAAATGATTCTTAGTAGCTGAAATCTGTAATAAGTGATAGCTACAAAGAAATTGTCCCTATTTTCAAATTTTAAGGAGAACAAAGTATAAATTAGTGTAGAGATTAATACTAGACAGTTGAAAGATCCAGGAAAACTGAGCCCTGATCCTGGCTCTATCGTTAACTCCAAAACTCAGAAAGATCCAAAAACTGAGCGTAGTTTTCATTAGCTTAGTGCTGAAACTCATTTGGTAGCAAAACCTGACCTGAGCTGACCTGGGGATATTTATAATCTTAATCCTACTTAGTGTGCCTGCTCCTAAATTTGCTGAAGCAATATTGGTGTATTTGATTACAGAGCATTTGGTTGCCCCATCGGAAATGTTACCTAATATATAGTAGATGTACAGTGTATGAAAAATCCCAAAAATTCTAGATTCCACGTGTCTCTGGACTCAGAGTTTTGGGGCAAGGGATTATTGGTTCATACTGCACATTCATGTCAGAAAATGCTGATAGGGGCCGGCGCTGTGGTGCAGTGGGTTGGGGTCCTGGCCTGAAGTGCAGGCATCCCATATAGGTGTCGGTTCTAGTCCCGCCTGCTCCTCTTCTGATCCAGCTCTCTGCTATGGCCTGGGAAAGCAATAAAAGATGGCCCAAGTCCTTGGGCCCCTGTGCCCATGTGGGAGACCTTGGGGGAGGCTCTTGGCTCCTGGCTTCAGATCAGTGCAGCTCTGGCCGTTGGGACCATCTGGGGAGTGAACCAGCGGATGGAAGACCTCTCTCTCTGTCTCTACCTCTCTCTGTAACTCTGTCTTTCAAATAAATAAAATAAATCTTCAAAAAAAAAAAAAGAAAAGAAAATGCTGATAAGCAAAAATCGCTACAGTATATTATTATACACCCATTAGACTGGCTAAAGTAAGGAAGATTGAGAACAGCAAATGTTGAAAAACAACTTTAACACATTGCCGGTAAGAGTCTGAAGTAATACAAATACTTTGGGAATTGCTTGGCAGTTGTTTAATAATATTTTATTTATTTTATTTTAAAGACAGAGACAGACAGTTTCCATCTGTTGGTTCACTCCCCAGTTGTCTGTAACAGCTGGAGCTGGGCCAAGAAGTAGCTAGAAACTGGGAAATTGGCAGTTTCTTATAAACATATCACTGAACCTTTCTACTTCCAAGTATTTACTCAAGAGAAATGAAAACACATCCATAAAAACTTTTATGCAAAATGTTCTACTAGAAACAGTCCAGATGTCCGTTAACAGATAAAAGAATAAAAGAAGTGTGGTATGGGGCTGATGTGGCACAGTGGTCAGGCCACCTGTGACAGCAGCATTCCATGTGGAAACTGGTTCAAGTCCCAAGTCCAAGTTTCACTTCTAATCCAACTCCCTGCTTATGTACTTGGAAGGGCATCGAATGATGGCTTGGATTGAGTTCCAGGTTACTGGCATTGAGACCATTTGGAGAATGATACACTGGTTCATTTAAAGATTTAAAATAAATCTTTAAGTAAAAAAGAATTGTAGGGACTGGTGTTGTGGTGTAGTAGGCTAAGCTGCCACCTACAATGCCAACATCTCACTTAGACACCAGTTTGAGTCCTGCCTGTTTCACTTCCCATCCAGCTCCCTGCTGATGGCCCGTAACAGCATTGGAAAACAGCTCAAGTACTTGGGCTCCTGCGCCCATGTAGGAGACCCAGAAGAAGTTCCTGGCTCCTTGCTTCAGATCTGCCCGGCTCCAGCCATTGTGGCCATTTGGGGAGTGAACCAGCAGATGGAAGATCTCTCCCTGTCTCTACTTTTCTCTGTCTGTAACTCTGCCTATCAAATAAATAAAATAAATCTTTAAAAAAAACTGGTATAAATGAGAGGCAGGCATTTGGTACAATGATTAAGAAGCCTCTTAGGGAGTATGCATCCTGTATCAGAGTGCCTGAGTTGGAGTCCCTCCACTTCCAATTCCAACTTACTGCTATGCACAGCCAGAGAGGCAGCAGGTGATGGCTCAAGTGGTTGGGTTCCTGCCAGCCCTATGGGATACCTGAATTGAGTTCCTGGCTCCTGTCCTCAGTCTGACCTAGCCCTCACTATTACAGGCATTTGGGGAATATATATATATATATATATATATACACACATATATTTGTATGACACTTTTGTAAATGGAATCACCATGTACATACTGTCTAGTAGTGTGACTTTTTTTTTACTCAGCATGTTGTAAACATTTTTTAAATTATTTATTTGAAAGAGTTACCGAGAAGGAGAGGCAGAGAGAGAATGAGAGAGAGAGAGAAGTCTTCCATCTACTGGTTCACTCCCCAAAATGGCCACAATAGCCAGGGTGGACCACGCTGAAGTCAGGAGCTTCATCCAGGTCTCCCACTTGGGGGCAAGGCTTAAAACACTTGGCCATCTTCCTCTGCTTTTTCAGGCACATTAGCAGGGAGTTGCATGGGAAGTGGAGCAGCCAGAACTCGAACCAGCGTCCCCATGGGATGCCAGTGCTGCAAATGGTGGCCACAGCACTGGCCTAAACATTTTTCTATTGCACAAACTCTTACATAATTAGGGCTTTGTGATTATTTTTTAAACTAGAATTCCCTTCAAACTGTTTACTGGAAATCCAAGTGTTAAATGGATACAGGCTAACCCTCTCTGGTTGAATGGGACGAAGAAGTGGTTGAAGTATGTGATCTGTGAGATCCATTCTAAGTCTAAAGATAAGGAGAGCTACAAGTCACTGTGACCCATGACATGCATTCTTTTTTCTGTGATCCTAGATCAATGGGAAAAGAATAACTAACACTAATGAGCATCTACTGTGGTCCAGGCTTTGTTGTAAATGTTTTGTGTGAATTAACTAATCAAAGCCTCATAGCAACCTTACAAAGTAGGCTCTTAATCCTACTTAAAAATTGGGTACTGCAGTGGAGTGCCATTGGGCAGTTTGCCAAAGATCAGCCAGTAGGTGGAAGAAGGAGCCTGGGTTTAAACTCAGTCCATTTGGCTTCGGGGATCACTAACACACTCCAGTTAACTTTCAAAATAAGCAGCCATTTTGGTTTGTACCTACAAAAAGATACAGAACCTTCTGTGATAATGTTGCCTTTTGTGTTTGTCTAGAGCTAGCCAACATGGAAGAGGATCCCAGATCAGCTGGGGTTGCTACCTTTGTTCTTCAAGAAGAATTTGATAGATATTCTGGCTATTGGTGGTGTCCAGAAGCTGAAGCAAGTAAGGAGCCTCAAAATAATACATTCTAAGTCAGCTAAAGTAGTATAAGATTCAACTGTCAGTTACATACATCAGTACTAAATCCTGAATAGGAATTCTAAACTAAAGATTAGATCCTACCAGTCCTTATTTAGAATATATAGATCATATCTGAACCATACTGAATTCTAATAAAAACAATTATGAGTTAGTGCCTCAGTCCCCTAAATTTTCTTTCCAAATTTTCACCTAAAAGATGGTCTAGCTAATGTTGGCAGCATTGTGGCAAAATAGAAAATACCACACCTTAGTGAGTTGCTGCAAAAATGGAGCTTGACTAGAGCGTCTGCATGAACAGATGCTGAGATGAATGTATGACTTGGTAAGGAAGGGAAGGGACAAATTGCTGCTTTTCCCAGATGAATTCAGATATATTTCACTGCCTAAGAAACAGCTCTCTAAAGCAGTGGCTGTCAGAATTTTTGACCATGATCCAGTTAGACATTTGCTCATAATCATGGCCTAATACATTGTACACACATAAAACACATTTCATGAAGCAGTATCCTTGTATGTAATATACTCTGATACTATTATTATTTTATGTTTGGTTGTATTTTTTTAATGTTGTTTATGACCAATTAATAGATTTCACGACCCACTAATGGTTTGCAGCTAGCAATCTGAACCTTTCTCCAAGGAACCATGAAAAAATGTTCCTTTTAAGCTTTGCCTTAGATTTCTACATTTTATTTTAAGATACGAAATTTTTTTGCCATAGTTATATTTGTTAGGACAAGATCTTGACATGATAGAGAAACCATTCAAAATAATTGGACTGTATTTAAATAACAGTTTTATAGGAAATAGAAATGTAAATAAATAATCCTCTTTTCAACAAAGTATGCATTTTAAGGTATGCAAGGACAAAGTCCTTCAAAAGACTTTTTCCCTGTTTTAAATATGTATTTTAATTGTATTAATAAATATGTATTATTTTCAGGTTTTTTTTTTCCCTCCAAAAGGAATAATCTTTAAGCAGTAAAAGTAGTTTTGCTGTAACTCATTTTGCTACTGCAAAAACTAGTAAAATTTTTATATACAAAAAATGATGTATTTTATACATGAACTATTTTTCCCAGTGAAAATTTAGTATTGGAGGCAGTGGTCAGTTAGGATTATGTCTGGAGTAATTCTTCTAAATTTTCCAATATCTAAATCTCTTTTAATAAAGCTCCTAGTGGTGGTAAAATTCTTAGAATTCTGTATGAAGAAAATGATGAATCCGAGGTGGAAATTATTCATGTTACATCCCCTCTACTGGAAACAAGGAGGGCAGATTCATTCCGTTACCCTAAAACAGGTACTGTACTCCCTGCCATTTGTGGTCGCTCCTTTCCCCCTCCCAAACGAGATTCTTTCTGTCGTCATCTGAAGGTGTGGCCAGCGTCAGTCATTTACGTCCTTGGGATTATTCATTTATGTCACTGAAATAGTTTTGAAATTAAAGACTGTGCCTTTTTAAATTACTTTCAAAGATAGAGATGTCCACAAAGCTGGTAACTTGAATGAATGAGTGGAAAATATATCTTCATTAGCAAGTAAAGACTTTTAACTGACTTTGTTCTTAGTGAATTTGTAACTTGTCCCCAGTTTTCTGTTTACAGCATTTTGGTTATGAAAATAGTACAGAATTTTCCTTCTTTATTTCATATTGACTTTTTATGGAAAATGTAACAGTTAATGTTTCTTTCTGTATTAGAAAGTATTAATTTGAGATGGAGCTATGATTCTAATGCAATAAAACCCTTATATATGTAATCTTCCTAACTTAAATAGAGGGTTGAGCTAGAAAAATTAGCTTGAGTAATCTTGGATATGAATTACTATCCGTTTTTCTTTCTAAAGGCACAGCAAATCCAAAAGTCACTTTTAAGATGTCGGAAATAATGATTGATGCTGAAGGAAGGGTAAGCACAAAATATGGAGCTGACTTTGTGTGTCATTTGACTAATCAGTCTGATGGGTTCTTTGATATACTTTGTATTTTTTGCTGTTGTTGATTTTAAGCTAATTTTCTGCTTAAAAAACTTGCTGCTGGATCCCAAGTAGGAACGTGGGGATATGCATACTTACTGCTCCTCTTGAAATAGATTGACTTCTTTGTCTTTATTTATTTATTTATTTTTGACAGGCAGAGTGGACAGTGAGAGAGAGACAGACAGAAAGGTCTTCCTTTACCGTTGATTCACCCTCCAATGACCGCCATGGCCGGCGCGCTGCGGCCGGCGCACCACGCTAATCCGAAGGCAGGAGCAAGGTGCTTCTCCTGGTCTCCCATGGGGTTGCAGGGCCCAAGCACTTAAGCCATCCTCCACTGCACTCCCGGGCCACAGCAGAGAGCTGGCCTGGAAGAGGGGCAACCGGGACAGAATCCGGTGCCCCGACCGGGACTAGAACCTGGTGTGCTGGCGCCGCAGGTGGAGGATTAGCCTAGTGAGCCATGGCACCGGGCGACTTTGTCTTTATTAAGTCTCCGGATAGGCATTTTTTGTTTTTTGTTGTTTTTGTTTAAAAAAAAAAAAAAAAAAGAACAGTGGTTATTGACTGATTTACCTTCTGTGTTTGGTTACATGTCTGTGGGTGGTTAAATATCCCAGAACTTTTCTCTTGTACTGCAGCTATCTGTTTGAATTGTCAGATGCCCATAAGTTGCATACTCACAGCAGTCTTCTCTGTTACTTTTCTTTAACAGCTTTACTTCTATACAATTCACATACAGTGCAGTTCACTCAGAGTTTGAAATCCAGTAACTTTTAGTATACTTAGTGTTGTGCAACTATCACAGAATTCAACTTTAGAATATTTTTGTCACTTCAAAGAGAAATCCTACACCCCTTAAGCCATCATCTCTCAACCTTACCATAAACTCTAGCACAAGACAGTCACTAATCTCTACTTTGAATAGATTTACCTGTTCTGAGTATTCCATATACATGGAATCATAAAATAGCCTAGCTTTTTAGATGAATGTTTTCAAGGTTTATCCATGTTGTGCCATGTATCAGTACTTCATTTCTTCTTACTGACATAAAATATTTCATTGTATAATCCTGGTGTGTTCTGGTTACTGAAAGTCACCATTTTCAAATGTATTATTACTAGTTAATAAGGAAAAAGCATGGCTTATACTTTTAGGATCTAACAAAGTTGTGAGTCGGGATATGGTTTTGCTATATCCTTTATGCCTTTTTAAATATCTAAGGCTAAAAAAAGTGTTATGTTCTTATCTATGATTTAAGTAGATTACTGAGTTAATTGTTTAAATCTTCTGTGATAAGATGCCTTTTTGTCTTTTTTTTTTTTAATAGATTATAGATGTCACAGATAAAGAGCTAATTCAACCTTTTGAGATTCTATTTGAAGGAGTTGAATATATTGCCAGAGCTGGTTGGACTCCAAAGGGAAAATAGTGCGTATGTTAAATTGTCACTTCTTTACAACTAACTTAGGATCCAGAGCTTTAGAAATGCTGAGGCGATTTGGTTTGCCTTACAGTTGGAGCTGCCTTCACATGTAAATTGGCAGTACAGTTATTTCTGCACAAGAAATTTTTCCTAAACTGAGTGGATTTGACTTGGAGATTTGTAAATCCTATCAGCATAAATGCATTCTATTTTAATTCTCTTAGCCAGTTACGATTCATAGTGATGTTTGTGATTAAATTGTGTGACTTGGGGCAGGTATTGGTGTAGTGGTTAAGATCACTTGGGTTGCCTGCATCCCAAATGGGAGTCCCTAGGTTCAAGTCCCTGCTGTGTACCCAATTCCAGCTTTCTGCTCATGTTCACCCTGGGAAATGGCCATGGTATCTCAAGTTGTTGAGTTCTTAAAGTTTTTTTTTTTTTTTATTAACAGTAACTTTTTTTAAAGATTAATTTATTTATTTGAAAGGCAAAATTAGAGAGAGGAGGAGAGACAGAGATCTTCCATGCACTGGTTCACTCTCCAAATGGCCAGGGCTGAGCTGGGCCAGAGCCAGGAGCCAGGAGCTTCTTCCTAGTCTCCCACGTGGGTACAGGGTTCCAAAGACTTGGAACACCCTCCACTTCTTTCCAAGACACATTAGCAGGGAGCTGGATCGGAAGTGGAGGAGCTGATGCCACAGGCCATGGCTTAAACTACTGCACCACAGCACAGCCCCTGGATTGAATTCTTGGTTCCTGGCTTTAGCCTAACCTAGCCTTGGCTATTGCAGGCATTTAGGGAATAAACCAGTTGATGAGGAGGTATTTATCTATCTTCTCTCTCTCTCTCTCTCTCTCTGCCTTTCAGAGATAAGTATTTAAAAATTTATGACTTTAAGGCTCACACATACATGTGGATTTTTTTAATTTGGAAATTTGAAGAAAATCACTTTTTAAAAACTGTCAAGCTTAATTTCTTAAAATAAATGTAGAATATTTTAATTAGTTATTTGTGACAATTTAAAATATCCTAAAACAGATGTTTCCATTTTGTTATAGATAAGATTGATGGGTGCCAAGGAAAAGAATATTATTCATTTTTTGAGAGCTTGATTTATTTCTGGTGCTTCTCTTTATTTGTTTAAATAGTGCTTGGTCCATCCTACTAGATCGCTCCCAAACTCGCCTGCAGATAGTGTTGATCCCGCCTGAGTTGTTTATCCCAGTAGAAGATGATGCCATGGAAAGACAGAGACTCATCGAGTCAGTGCCTGACTCTGTGACCCCGCTGATCATCTATGAAGAAACAACAGACATCTGGATAAATGTATGCATTTTTCCTCTGTGATTGTTTGAATATATGCTCAAAATGCGCAAGCATGGAGGGCCATAAAAGCAGACTATCAAAATGCATTTTTTCAAGTTCAAAGAAATTCATGAATGTTATTTGCTTAGTTTGAATGTCTCAAGTTTTAGAATGATGGTTGCAGAATGGAATGATTTTGGTTGCCATTGAAATGACATCTCACTGGCTGCAGATTTGTCTCTGGACACATCAGATGATGAATACACAACCTCATCTCCAGCTTTATCGGTGCTCTGAGAGGATTTCAGGACTCCAGTTCTAAAGAGACTTTCTCCTCTTTTAAGTTGTCAAACTATACCAAAACTTTCCAGTCTTCAATTTAATTTTGCATTTTCCAATTTAGCATAAAAATAAGAGACAAAATAAATACAACCAGCTTACTCTGTAGCTGAATGTAGGCTTCAAATGATTCACCTAAAACAGATGAACATCTGTTTTCCCTCAATTGTTAGAATATTTTTCTTTGGAAAACAAAAGTAAAAAAATTTTTTTCTCATTTCTGTAATAAGATTTATATCATTAAAGAAATCTCATGCCATGTTCAAAGATTAAAGAGGTGGTGAGTAAGAAAAAGCTTTTGGCCATATTTTTCTATTTTTCTCCATTTGGAAACATTTATTTCTCAATGGATAAAGCCTTTGACTAAAGTAAAATAAATCGAAGGCGCAGCTAGAACTTATTATTGTAATTGTGCCACACCCCTGGCGCTGACAGTTGTTTGCCGTTTTTTCTCTAGCTTAATTGAATTATGTAGTGTTTTTGTTAGTGTGTATAGTAAATCAAGCTATTCATTTTACAGATCCATGACATCTTTCATGTTTTTCCCCAAAGTCACGAAGATGAAATTGAGTTTATTTTTGCCTCTGAATGCAAAACTGGTTTCCGTCATTTATATAAAATCACGTCCATTTTAAAGGAAAGCAAATATAAACGATCCAGTGGTGGTCTGCCTGCACCAAGTAAGAAACCATTTTTATTTAAAAAAGTAAACAAACATTGGAGCAGAAGGTGGGAGGGACAGGAGAATGTCATGTGTCTTTCATATGCTTTATGTAAGCATCAGTGATGGCCTTATGAAACCTTCTATGTTAAAATATATGCATGTGTTAAAAACAGAACAAGGTTCTTGATGAATGAACTATTAATAGTGGATAACACTGAGTATCTGGATTACTATTTTTTGGTGTTCTACTTTGGCCTTGAATGCATTTTTTAATTTGTTTAAACATATTGAACCCTTATTATTTTGTATTTTTTAAAAACTACTTTTAAAAATGTTATATAATTATTAGCTATTTTTTATACAAATGTTTCTTATGCTATCTACATCTACACTAAGCTTACTTTATTACTAAAAGTCTTCAGAGTAATATAATTATCTTGCCTAAAGTAAAATTGAATATTATGTCAACTGAAGTTAATTTCTTTTTAAAAAGTGATGATTTCCCTTCTGGGTAACAATAAGTGCTTAAGCCTAGGAAAGTGAAGTAGTACACTGAGTACTGTTCTTAGGTTTTTCTAAAACTGAATTCCAGTTTTCTAGTTCATTAAAGCTTGTTTTGGCAGTACTTTATGATAACTTTTGTTATATACTTAACTGCCATTTGTAACTTACCAGACTCAACCATTGCCTTTTTTAAAAAGTTGCAGTAAAATATGCATAGTAAGAGTTAGCGTTTTGACCATTTTTAAGGGCACAGTTAGTGGCATTAAGTACATTCATTCTGCTATATGACAATCACCTCCGTCCATCTCCAGAACTTTTTCATCTTCCAAATCTGAAACTCTCCACTGAATAGTAACTCCTCAACCCCTGCTCCTCCAAGCCGCTGTTAACCACTTTCTGGCTTTCTGAATGTGACTGCTCACTGCTCTAGATCCTTTTCTGTAAGTGGAGTCATGCAGCCTTGGTCCTTTTGTGGCTGCCTTATTTCACTCAGCACTGTGTCCTCAAGGTTGATCTGAGATGTAGCATGTATCAGAATTCCCTTCCTTCTCAAAGCTGCATAATATTTCACTTTATGTAAATTCCACATTTTGTATATTCATTTCTCAGGGGTACCTAGGCTGCTTCCACCTTTTAGCTACTGTCAGTATGCTGCTGTGGACATGAGTCTACAAATAACTGTTCCTGTCCCAGCTCCCAGTTCTCTGGAGCATGTACCAGAGTAGAATTTCTGGGTCATAAAGTGATCCTATTTTTAATTTTTTGAGTAAATGCCATACCATTTTCCCTGAGCTGCTATGCCATTGGTACATTAGTAGGAATGACTGTGCCATTTTACCTTCACACACACACACACACACACACACGCACACACAGCAGTGTACAAACATTTTAATTTCACATCCTTGAAAATATTGGTTATTTTCTGTTTTTTGTTTGTTTGTTTGTTTTTTATAATATCCATCCTAGCAAGTATGAGGTGTTACTGTTTTGATTTTGATTCCTTAGGGATTAATGTTTTTGACAGTCTTTCTATGCACCCACTGGTACATGTACCCACTTATGTATCTTCTTTGAAGAATTATTCTAGTCCTTTGTGCATTGTTTCATCAGGTTGCTTATTCAGCCTGACCTTTTACATATCTTTCTTATATAGGCAATAGTGATCTGTATCTTGAAACTTGCAAATTAAACGTTATCTATGGCACTGCTCCTTTTCTTATCCTAGTTTTTGAAGATGCTCAATATCTCACATGTCCAAGATGGGAAATTCTCCCTTTCCAGCCTCGGCCTAGCTTGGTCCCTAGTGTGAAATTGCCTTTACCAGATCCTTATTGTTCAGAAACTAAATCCAGCTATGGAATTCTAGGGTTTAATGATGGAGACTGATCAAATCGTTGTAGCTAGTAGTTATTTAACTAAAACAAAATGTGGGGAGCGTCGCTCCCCCCCTTCGTGGAGGAACGACACAGGACCCTGCGCTGTTCTTTCATCTGCTCGGCCCTTCCCGGGTTTGCTGCTGGTTCTTCCTGGGTTGGCTACCGTCCCTTCCACCTCCGTGGAAGGGCGGTTCCCCCTGCCACTTTCCCCACTTCCGCGGGGGAGCGGCACACCACCGGCCAGCTCTCTCGGGGGCTGCTCAGATGTTCCTCAGGTGTTCCTTCAGATAGATGTTCCTGGTGCATGTTGTCTCTCTCCTCCTTTATAGTCCTCTTCCACCAATCCCAACTCTGCTACCCACACGCCAAGTACGCTGCTCTCCTCCAATCAGGAGCAGGTCCTACAGTTTATTGGTTGAACTGGAGGCAGCTGTGTAGAAGCTGTTTCCTCCTCTCCCAGCGCCATATTGTGGGAGAGCAGATGCATAGAATAAGTCTTAATTCCAGTAACAGTCTAGTCCGAGTTGCTCCCCACAGGGGAGCAGAAATAAGAAGATGGTAACTTACAATTTTGTGCCCTAACTGAAGAGTATAAGAAGAGCTAGTATCTGTTAACACTCACCTCAGGACACCAACCCTGTGTGCCCTACCAGTGTCTCGGCCCCTCAGTTTGCCAAACTTTCTGGTTTTTCATCTTTTTTATTCCTTTTTGTTTGTTTGTTTTTAAGATTTATTTTATTGATTTTAAAGGCAGAATTACACTGAGACAGATAGATCATCCATCCACTGTTTAACTTCCCAAATGGCTGTAACGGCTGGTCTGGGCCAGGCTGAAGCCAGGAACCCAGAGCTTCATCCAGGTCTCCTTCAAGGGCATGGACCCAAAGTGGATCAAAAGTGGAGCAGCTGGGACTTGAACTGGAGCCCATATATGGGATGCTAGTGTTGCAGGCGACAGCTTAGCCTGCGATGCCACAGTGCTGGCCTCTCTCTTTTTATTTCTTAGTCTTTCTAAGTTTTCCTTCTTTATGTCTGCTTCATTTCCTTTTTAAGTGACTATAATATGAAATATTATTATTTATATATTAAGTAATCTTTCATTTTCTGCGCATAGAGTTTAACAGTTTGTTTATTTGAAAGGCAGAGTGGAGCTGATGCTGTGGCATAGCAGGTAAAGCCGCCGCCTGCAGTGCCGGCATCCTGTATGGGTGCTGGTTCGAGTCCTGGCTGCTCCACTTCCAACTCAGCTCTCTGCTATGGCCTGGGAAAGCAGTAGAAGATGGCCCAAGTCCTTGGGGCCCTGCACCGTGTGAGAAGACCTGGAGGAAGTTCCTGGCTCCTGGCTTCAGATTGGCACAGTTCCGGCAGTTGCAGCCAATGGGGGAGTGAACCATCAGATGGAAGACCTCTCTCTCTCTCTCTCTCTCTACCTCTCCTTTTCTCTGTGTGTAACTCTGACTTTCAGATAAATAAAATAAATCTTAAAGAAAGAAAGGCAGAGTGACAGAGAGAGCTTCTATCTGCTAGTTCACTCCCCAAATGCCTGCAATCCTGAGGGCTGGGCCAGGCCATAACCAGGAGCTAGGAACTACATTTGAGTCTACCACTTGGGTAGCAGGAGTCCAAGTACCTGGGCCATCATCCATTGCCTTCCCAAGTGCATTAGCAGGACCTGGACCAAAGCAAAGTAGCCAGGACTCTAACCAGCACTACCATATGGGATGCCCATGTTGGAAATAGCAGCTTAAACCACTGGACCGCAACATCAGCTGTTTCTGTGTGTGTGTTTTTGTGTTTTAAGATTTATTTATTTATTTGAAAAGCAGAGAGTTACAGAAAGGAAGAGGCAAAGAGAGAGAAATCTTCCATCTGCTGGTTCACTCCCCAAATGGTCACAATGGCCGTAGTTGAGCTAATCTGAAGCCACGAGCTTCTTCCAGGTCCTCCATATAGGTGCAGGGGCCCAAGCACTTGGGCCATCTTCTGCTTTCCCAGGCCACAGCAGAGAACTGGATCAGAAGTGGAGCAGCGGTGACATGAACCGGCACCTATATGGGATGCTGGCACTGCAGGTGGCAGCTTTACCTGCTATGCCACAGTTTTTCTCACCCCACTAGATTAGACCTCTTTGTTTAATGAAAAGTCCAAGAACACAGGTGTTTTTGAATTTGTGGTGTCGTGGTGCAGTGGGTTCAGCTGCTACCTGCAATTCCAGCATCCCATATGAGTGCACGGTTAGTCCTGGCTTATCTACTTCTGCTTCTGCTCCCTGTTAATGCACCTGGGAAGGTAGCTTGGGCCCTTCCCACCGATGTGGGAGACCTGGATAAAGTTCCAGGCTCCTGGCTTCGGTGTGGCCCAGCCCTGGCCATTGTGGCCATTTAGGGAGTGAACCATCAGATGGAAGATCTCTTTTTCTCTTTGTCTCCCTTCTGTGTCACTCTGTCTTTCAAATAAATAAAATAGATCTTGAAAAAAAAAATCTGTGTTGCTATTTTCACATTATCCACATGGATCCTCCCATCATTATTCCAGAGTATTAAGATTTACACTTTGGGGGCTTGCACTATGGTATAGTGCACTAAGCCTCCGCCTGTGGTGCCAGCATCCCATGTGGGCACTGGTTCACATCCTGGCTGTTCCTCTTCCAATCCAGCTCTCTGGTATGGCCTGGGAAGGCAGTAGAAGATGTCCCAAGTCCTTGGGTCCCTGCATCCACGTGGGAGACCCCAAAGAAGCTCCTAGCTTCTGGCTTTGGATTGGCCCAACTCTGGCCATTGTGGACATTTGAGGAGTAAACCAGCAGATGGAAGACCTTTCTCTTTGTCTCTTCCTGTCTCTGTATTTCTACCTCTCAAATAAATAAATAAATCTTAAAAAAGATTTATATGTTGGGGGTTGGCACCATGGTACAGCTGGTTAAGCTGGCACCTGCAAAGTTGGCATCCCATATGAACAGCAGTTGAAGTCCCAGCTGCTCTGCTTCTGATCCAGCTCCCTGCTAATGCACCTGGGAAAGCAAAAGAAGATGGCCCAAGTACTTGTCCTGCCACCTGTGTGGGAGACCCTGATGGAGTGCCAGGCTCCTGACTTCGGCCCATTGCAACCATTTGGGGAGTAAACTAGTAGACGGAAGATTTTCTCTCTCTCTCTGCCTTTCAAATAAATCATTTAAAAAAGGGCTCATAACTTGAATTTTTTTAAAACTGTAGACTTTTATTGAAATAAAATTCACATAATATTAACCATTCTAAAATAAAGAATTCAATGGCTTTTTAAAAACTGGTATATTAAAATTATACATCTTTACGGGGCACATATCTTTATACATGGATACGTTGTGTAATGTTCAGCTCAGGGTAAGCATACTTTTATCTCCTTGAACATTTATGATCTCTTCACTGGCGCTGAGCACATTCACAGTGTTGTGCAACCAGCCACCTCTGTGTAGTTCCAAAACATTTTATTACCATAAATACAACTTTAATTTTTAAATGCTGTTTTTTTGCAAAGAAAATTTAGAGTGCTGTTGTTATTGTTTCATTTGCTTTTAGTTTAGTATCAAGTACTGAATTACAACTGTTTGTCCTTAGGTGATTTCAAGTGTCCTATCAAAGAGGAGATAGCAATTACCAGTGGTGAATGGGAAGTTCTTGGCCGGCATGGATCTAATGTATGTTCTTTGATTCTACTGATAATGTTTGGTCAACATCTGTATGTATGCAATACAAAAAGTCAGCAGTGCAACTTAATGTGACCCCAGCGTGGTGGTCCCAGTGAGTTGGGACCTAAAATAAGTCAAGTTATTAGAAAGGAAGAATGAGTTCAAATTACAAATCTCACTCAATTTATGACTGTGGTATTAAATGTATTCTGACTACTAAAGTTCATCATTTTCAAATATATTTTTACTTCATAAGGAAAGGCTTGGTCCATACTTTTAGGGTCTGGCAATAGTTGGGAGTTAGGATATAATTTGAAAATTACTGTACGGTTTCTACACTGGAAATTGTGTTTGCTTCAAATGAGTTATTTTTTCTCTTTCATTCCTCTGTATCATACCCCGGAGATTTGAACTTTATCCACTAACTGCAAAGAGCGATGTGCATTTTTACATAGCTTAGATTGATAGGGGAGAGGAGGGAAATTTACTCTCAACAGGTGGCTTTCTGTGACAGTTCAATGAATGTTTTGTTTCTTTTGCCTTTCATAGTACCTTGGATTTATTTCAGCTTTCAGTTAGGTGCTCAGCTTCCTGTGGTCTCTAAGAACTTATCCTTTCTGAATGTGACTCAGAGAGTTGATGTGTGCTGCCAGGACCTGGTGGAGACCTGGCTGTGATTTCCTCACACTGATAAAGAGATTGATTTAGGATTTTGTATACTGTAGAAATCACCCAGTCACTGAGGTGACTAAGGCGAGAGAATGAAGAAGATCCTATCTGTTTTTGTTAGTGAAAACCGTGGACCATCATAGGCAACTTGAAAAGTGCAGTTTCTACTGAGAGCCTCATGTGGTCTTCTGGTTGTTATCCAAATTACATTTTTTTCTGTTTAGAGACCTTGGACCCTTGGACATTGCTGTCACTTGAGGAAAAAAAAAGTCTTACTGTGGAGTTGGGGGAGGGGGAGCGTGGAAGGAGGTTTAAAAACATCTTAATGGAATTCTAGGTTCTGATAACAGAACGTTACACTAATGTGAGTTTCGTGGTGCATGATGGTTTTAGGAAACAAGTCATTGGATAATACTGAGGGAATTCCAAAGTTGTATTTATGCAGATCTACTCCTTACTTGGGCAGCCAAATGTCTCTGCTACTTGCCACAACATGCATTCAGTTGCCTTTTTTTTTTTTTTTTTTTTTTTTTTTTTGACAGGCAGAGTGGACAGTGAGAGAGAGAGACAGAAAGGTCTTCCTTTTGCCGTTGGTTCACCCTCCAATGGCCACCGTGGCTGGCGCACTGCGGCTGGCGCACCACGCTGATCCAATGGCAGGAGCCAGGTACTTGTCCTGGTCTCCCATGGGGTGCAGGGCCCAAGCACCTGGGCCATCCTCCACTGCACTCCCTGGCCACAGCAGAGAGCTGGCCTGGAAGAGGGGCAACCAGGACAGAATCCGGCGCCCCAACCGGGACTAGAACCCGGTGTGCCGGCGCCGCAAGGCGGAGGATTAGCCTAGTGAGCCGCGGCGCCGGCCCAGTTGCCTTTTTTTTTTTATGTCATGTCTTTTTCACTGCATTTCTGTCATCCTCTTCTGTTTTCTGTCTTGTGTTTTTCTGTCTTTATATATCTTTTTCCTTCTCTGCTTTTTACAACTGATCTTATTCTCATTCAGAAATTTCTAACAGTAGTAGCTGGATAAAGCTTTGAGACTTTTAAGTCCATGTACTTCTTAACAGTTGAGGATGGTTCTTGTAGTTGGGTCCCTGCACCGGCAGAAAAATATCAGTATCATGTGGGAACTTGTTAGAAAAGCAGATTCTTATGTCCATCCCACACCTCGCAATGAAAACCTCTGGTGGTCGGACCCAGCAGTCTGTTTAACAAGCCCCCCAGGTGATTCTGGTACAACTTAAAAAAAAAAAAAAGATTATTTACTTATTGAAAGGCAGAGCAACAGGCGTAGGGAGTGGGGGATAGAGAGAATCTTCCATCTGCTGGTTCATTCCCCAGCTGTCCACAACAGCCAGGGCTAGGAAAACCCAACACCAGGAACCAGGAACTCCATCCTGGTCTCCCTTGTGGGTGACAGGGGCTCTAGAACCCTTGGGCCGTCATCTACTGCTTTCCTGGGTGCATTAGCAGGGAGCTGGGTTGGAAGTGAAATAGCCAGGATGCCGGTGTTCTAAGTCACAGCTTAGCCCATTGCACCCCAACACCAGACCCTGATACTTCTGGTAAGTAGTTACATTAAAAAAAAAAAAAAAAAAAAGGAACCATGCCAGGTGGAGGTGAGGAATTGACTGGTTATTTCTTTAATTTTGAAAGGCCTAAGTCCCAGCTGCTATGTCAAGAGTAGAACCAGTCCTAACCTTTTGCAGAGATTAACACAGAACATGAAAAGCTGCATGAACTTCTGTCTTTCTGTCATTTGTATCCTTTCTATATATTTCATATGGGCCTGCTTAATCGCAAATGTGTTTGTGTCTCTTAATGCATATTAGAAGTGTTTGGTGATTAAGTTTCCAGACAAAAAACAAGACATTTAAAAATGCTTAAGGGGGTTGGCCGGCGCCGCGGCTCACTAGGCTAATCCTCCGCCTAGCGGCGCCGGCACACCGGGTTCTAGTCCCGGTCGGGGCGCCGGATTCTGTCCCGGTTGCCCCTCTTCCAGGCCAGCTCTCTGCTGTGGCCCGGGAGTGCAGTGGAGGATGGCCCAGATGCTTGGGCCCTGCACCCCATGGGAGACCAGGAAAAGCACCTGGCTCCTGGCTCCTGCCATCGGATCAGCGCGGTGCGCCGACCGCAGCGCGCCGGCCGCGGCGGCCATTGGAGGGTGAACCAACGGCAAAAGGAAGACCTTTCTCTCTCTCTCACTGTCCACTCTGCCTGTCAAAAAAAAAAAAAAATGCTTAAGGGCAAGAATTTGGGCTGGCAATTAAAATGCTAGTATGCTATATTAGAATACCTGGATTCTTTTTTTAATAAGATCAATTTATTTATTTATTTGAGAGGCAGAGTTACAGTGAGAGGAGGGATGGAGATATATATATATATATATATAGAGAGAGAGAGAGAGAGAGAATCTTCCACTTGCTGGTTCACTCCCTAAATGGCCTCAAAGGACAGAGCTGGGCCCATCGGTCAGCAGGAGCCAGGAGCTTCCTCCAGGTCTGCCATGTGGGTGCAAGGGCCCAAACACTTGGGCCATCTTCTGCTGCTTTCCCAGGTGCATTAGCAAGGAGCTAGATTGGAAGTGGAACAGCTGGGAATTGAACCAGCACCCATATGGGATGTCGGCACGTCAGGTGGAGGCTTAACCTACTAGCCACAGTGCCAACTGCATTACCTGGATTCTAATCCCAGCTCTGGCTCCTGATTACAGTTTCCTGCTAATGCAGACCCTAAAGCAGCAAGTGATGACCCAAGTATTTGACTGCCACCTATGTGGGAAACCTCAATTGAGTTTTCATCTCCCAGCTTCTACCTAACCCAGCTCTAGCTGTTGTGGGCATTTGGGGAGGGAACCATCAAATGGGAGCTCACTGTCTGCCTGCCTTTCAAATAATAAAAATAAATTATCAAAGTTTTAAAGGTCTTGCTTCTAGCAATGTATGTTGTCTTTGCCGTGTTCAAATTTTTGAATTTTACTAAGCATTGAGTAGGCTGGTAGAAGATTTTTTTAGGGCCCAACACTGTGGTGAAGTTCTGGCATTCTATATGGGCTCCGGTTTAAGTCCTGGCAGCTCCACTTCAATCCAGCTCCCTGCTAATATGCCTGCAAAAGCAGCAGAAGATAGCCCAAGTGCTGGGTCCCTGCACCCGCATGGGAGATCTGAAAGAAGCTCCTGGCTCCTGGCTTTGGCCTGGCCCAGCCCTGGTCTTTGTGGCTGCTTGGGAAGTGAACCATTGCAGATGGAAGACCTTTCTCTCTGTCTCCCCCCACCCCTGTAACTCTGCCTTTCAAATAAATAAAATAAATGTAAAAAAAAGGAGGGGGGGTCGTGCACTGTGACATAACGGGTAAAGCTGCCACCTACGGTGCCGGCATCCCAAATGGACACCAGTTCATGTCCTTGCTGCTCCACTTCCAATCCAGCTCTCTGCTATGGCCTGGGAAAGCAGTGGAAGATGACCCAAGTCCTTGGGCCCCTGTACTTGAGTGGGAGACCTGAAAGAAGCTCCTGGCTCGGCGTAACTCCAGCTGTTGCGGCTGATTGGGGAGTGAACCAGCGGATAGAAGTCCTGTCTCTCTCTGCCTCTCCTTCTCTTTCTGTGTAACTCTGACTTTCAAAATAAATAAATTTAAAAAAAAAAAAAAAAAAAAGGCAGGGCTGGCACTATAGCATATAAGCTAAGCTTCCTCCTGTGGAGCCAGCATCCCATATGGGTGCCGGTTCATGTCCTGGCTGCTCATCTTCCAATCCTGCTCTCTGCTATGGCTTGGGAAAGCAGTAGAAGATGACCCAAGTGCTTGGGCCCTGCACCCGCGTGGGAGACCCAGAGGAATCTCCTGGCTCCTGGCTTTGGATCAGCTCAGCTCCAGCCATTGCAGCCACTTAGGAAGTGAACCAATGAATGGAAGACCTCTCTGTCTGTAACTGTACCTCTCAAATAAATAAATAAAAATAAATAAAAACTAAAAGAAAAAAAGCCAGACTTCCATATTTTTTTAAAAAAATATTTTTAAAGAGCCAATAAAAGAAAGTTATTTATTTAGAATCATAATTTGGGAATATTATCTGAATTTAGCTGTGAGTTTACTTGCATTTTGTGTGTGGGTTCTAAGTGAAGATTGAAACAATCTTACCCAAACTTATTTATAAATCGTACCAGTATTGAAACTGATTGAGTTCAACTGTTTTCCAAACCAGTAGATAAAACACTTTTGAAAACTTGTACAAAAGACCAAAACAGTACTGCCTTAAGTAATACTGTAATGAAAAATATAGAGTAAAATTAGACTCTTTCAAGTACATTTGAATGGTTAACCTAAAAAGAGTGCTTATTTTAAAGAAATAATTCTTTTTTTCTTAAGATTTATTTAATAAACAAGAGAGACAGAGACAGAGTGATACTCCATCGGCTGGTTCACTCCCCAGATGTCTGCAATGTACAGGGCTGGGCCAGGCCAAAGCCAGGAGCCAAGAGCTTCTTCCAGGTCTTTGGCAGGGGCCCAACCACTTGGGCCATCTTCACTGCTTTTTCCCAGGCCAAAAACAGGGAGCTGGGTCAGAAGTGGAGCAGCCAGGAGTTGAACTGGTGCCCATATGAAATGCCGGCGGCATTGCAGGCATTACCCACTACGTTACAGCACTGTTCCCAGGAAAATAACTCTTATATTTTAAGAACAACACAGATTCTGACCAAATAAGAAATTATACAATCTCTTTGCAACTCTAGATGGCATTTTTTTTTCTGGACAGGATCTATTCCTAGCAATAAGTCACAAACAAAACTGACTAATTTATTAACATGTATTTTTTTTTTAAGATTTTATTTATTTATTTAAGAGGTAGAGTTACAGAGAGAAAGGTCTTCCATCCACTAGTTCACTTCGCAAATGGCCATGACAGCCAGAGCTGGGCCAATCTAAAGCCAGGAGCCAAGAACTTCATCCAAGTCTCCCATGTGGGTGCAGGGGCCCAAGTGCTCAGGCCATCTTCCACTGCTTTCCCAGGCCATAGAGCTGGATCAGAAGAGGAGCAGTCAAGACACAAACCAGCACTGTTAGGGGGTGCTGGTGGCGCAGCAGAGGCTTAGCTTACTAGCCATAGCACCAGCCCCTTAACATGTCTTTAAAAAAAAATAAAATACAAAAAGTGGCATAAATGATGCTGAGTAAAATTTGGGCTTGTTCATTGCCAGGGTCACTGATTTTCTTGTTGCTGTTTTGCAGATCCAGGTTGATGAAGTCAGGAGGCTGGTATATTTTGAAGGCACCAAAGACTCCCCTTTAGAACATCACTTGTACGTGGTCAGCTACGTAAATCCTGGAGAGGTGACAAGGCTGACCGACCGCGGCTATTCCCACTCTTGCTGCATCAGCCCGGTATTAAGCCCCTACTTGAAAAGGGTTTCTTGTCCTATAAAAACCCTCTGTTAATGTAATACTCCTGTTGAATGTTGTGAAAATGTCCTACAGAAGCCCAGTTAATAAACATTTAGCCGTAACTTCTGTGCTGTATCTGTATGTAAATAGCCCAGCTCTTCTTAGACTCTTCCATATTAGTGTAATTGTAACAGCTGGTAATCTTTTTTTTACTTTTCTCTGAGGAAAATAATAATTGTTTCTCCTTTCTCCAGCATTGTGACTTCTTCATAAGTAAGTACAGTAACCAGAAGAACCCACACTGTGTATCCCTTTATAAGTTGTCAAGTCCTGAAGATGATCCAACTTGCAAAACAAAGGAATTTTGGGCCACTATTTTGGATTCAGCAGGTACTTTTCCCCTGGAATGCTTGATTTCTTAAAGAATGGACTAATTTCATGTATTTTTGTAAGGTTTATTTATTTATTTATTTGAAAAGCAGAGTTATGGGGTGCGAGCTGGGGTGGGAGAGGCAGAGAGGAGGCAGAGAGAGAGATATCTTCCATTTGCTGGTTCACTCCCCAAATGGCCACAATGGCCAGAGCTGGGCTGGTCTGAAGCCAGGAGCCAAGGTCTTCCTTAGGGTCTCCCATGTTGGGGGCAGGGGCCCAAACACTTGGGCCATCTTCTCCCATTGCTTTCCCAGGTACACTAGCAGGGAGCTGCATTGGAAGTGGAGCAGCAGGGACTCAAACCAGTGTCCATATGGGATGCCAGCACCACAGGCATGCCACAGCACCAGCCCCCCTTCATGTATCTTTTAATTCACTTTCTCCCCAGTTTTTTTCTTGTTAAGTATTTTCAATCATTAATTGGGCCACCATTTTGGGTTCAGCAGGCAGGTACTTTTCCCCTTAACCTGACCTTAAATAGGATTAATATGCTAGAGCACTAGTGCTGAGGGATTAGGAAATCAGTGCAGAACCAGAGTATAGGTATATTTTAGTGTCCACAGCAGGATTTGTAATACAGTGATTATCACAGCTTGGTGTGTAACATTGTCCACTGTGCAGACACATGGAGAGTTCTGTATAGCTGTGGTGACCAAAGGCTGGGAGTGACATTTTTTTTTATTTGACAGAGTTAGTGAGAGAGAAAGAGAAAGGTCTTCCGTCCGTTGGTTCACCCCCCAAACGGCCACCACGGCTGGAGCTATGCCAGTCCGAAGCCAGGAGCCAGGTGCTTCCTCCTGGTCTCCCATGCGGGTGCAGGGGCCTAAGCACTTGGGCCATCCTCCACTACCCTCCCGGGCCACAGCAGAGAGTTAGACTGGAAGAGGAGCAACCTGGACTAGAACCTGGCGCCCATATGGGATGCCGGCACTGCAGGCAGAGGATTAACCAAGCGAGCCATGGCGCCAGCCCCTGCGGGGAGGGGGGCGGTGTGTGACTCTTTTTCTCTGCCTTCTGGTTAGGCTTAGTCTCTCATGACCAGAAACAGAATTGTTGAGCACCTGCTATGAGCAAGTTAAATTGACTGGGTTAAGTATGTGCCTCCTGTTTGTTTTTCCTCCCAGCCGTAATGAGGTATGTGCTTGTTTCTACCCAGGTGTGTGGTGTAGCCATCAGTAAGTTTCACTGAGCTGAGCACCAAGTATTTGTATAGTTCTGTGCCTGAATACTTATTGGGCTCCACAATTTATTCGAAACACTGTGTCTGCTTCTGAAATAAATAAAATCTGTGTTTGTAGATGAATGTTCTTGCTTGATTTCTAGCTTACCACCTGAAAGGAGAGTGGTTGGTGAGCTGTGTGGGAGTCTGGGTTTTGCTGTCTTCTTCCTTGCTCTTGGATTGTCACACTCCCCTAAGAACTCCTGTAACAGACCCTGTGTTACCTACTCACAGGTCCTCTTCCTGACTACACCCCTCCAGAAATTTTCTCCTTTGAAAGCACGACTGGATTTACATTGTATGGGATGCTATACAAGCCTCATGATCTGCAACCTGGAAAGAAGTATCCCACTGTGCTGTTCATCTACGGTGGTCCTCAGGTGGGCATGCTTAAATACAGACAAATGTGTGTGTGTGTGTATTTAGGTGATTTGTTTTTTAAATGTCTAGTCAGCTGTTTAGGTCAAGAATTTGAGCCCCGTTGGGCCTCTGCTGTTATCAGCTCTGGCTTATGTTCTTTCTTTTTTTTCTGGAAAGGCAGAGTTAGAGAGAGAGACAGAGAGAAAGGTCTTCCTTTTTCCGTTGGTTCACCCCCAAAGTGGCCGGTATGAGTGGCACTTTGAGGCTGGCGCACTGCGCCGATCCGAAGCCAGGAGCCAGGCGCCGCCTCCTGGTCTCCCATGCAGGTGCAGGGCCCAAGCACATGGGCCATCTTCCACTGCCCTCCCGGGCCACAGCAGAGAGCTGGACTGGAAGAGGAGCAACCAGGACAGAATCTGGCGCCCCGACCGGGACTAGAACCCGGGGTGCCGGCGCCGCAGGCAGAGGATTAGCCTATTGAGCTGCGGCGCTAGCCAGTGTGTTGCTTTCTATACAGAGAGGTTTGGGGAATACAATTAAATAATTAAATAGCTTAGTAAATAAAAAGAAGCCTTAGTAGCCTAGCGAATTCCTCCTCTTTTTCCTGTGGCTATCTCAAACAAGCTAAAATATTGTGATCAGCTAGTTCAGGCAACTGCTGTGGTAATCAGTGCTGTAAGAAGCTTACACCTTGGTCTTCCTTTTTCTGTATTAAAAATTGCCATGTGACTGTTAAGTAAATGCTTTTGACTATCAGAGTGAAGTATTTGGGATAGGTGAATTGGTTGTTAATTTTTTTTTAAGATTTATTTATTTTATTTGAAAGAGTTACACAGAGAAAGAAGGAGAGGAAGAGAGAGAGAGAGAGAGAGTGGTCTTCCATCCACTGGTTCGCTCTCCAATTGGCTGCAATGGTCAGAGTTGCTCTGATCCGAAGCCAGGAGCCTGGAGCCTCTTCTGGGTCTCCCATGCAGGTGCGGGGACCCAAGGACCTGGGCCATCTTCTGCTGCTTTCCCAGGCCATAATAGCAGAGAGCTGGATCAGATTGGTGCCCATATAGGATGCTGGCGCTTCAAGCCAACGTGTTGACCCGCTGAGCCACAGCACCAGCCCCCAATTGTGTTTCCATAATGCAACTCTTGGACCCAATAATACCCTTTATAACAATATCCAGTTATGTAGTATCTGGAAATATATCTAGGTAGCAAGTTGTACAAAAATAAAATAAAAGTAAAATTACATAAGCTATAAAATCTCAGTCATGATAGTTATGTATTGAGTTAAATCATTTTGCTGTCATTGTGTGTTACAAACAAAACATGCATATTTATATTGCTGGCATCTACATAAATAGTTAAATTAGTCTTTGATTAAAGATTTGAAGCCAAATCTTTGTAAACTTAAAAAGGCTTACCACAAAGCAACTCAAAAAAGAAATTACAAGAGATACTCAGAAGCTTTGCATGTTTTCTTACTTGCCTTTGTTAGAAGAGGATAGTAAGAGGTGGGCATTTGGCCTAGTGGTTAAGACACTGGTTAGATTGCCCCTGGCCTGGAAGACCAGCTTCAGCCCCAGCCGTGATGCCAGCTTCCGGCCACTGCAGACCTTGAGAAGCAGCGGTGATGGCTCAAGGAATTGGATTCCTGCCACCCACTCTCACTGTCCTCTCTGCCCGTCCAAAAAAAAAAAGGTCAGAGGTAGCTAAGGGCCATGTGAATAATTTAGGTCTTTTTGTGAAGGATAATGGAGCCATTAGAGGGAGCCAAGCAGTAGTCATACCTTACTCAGATGTGTAGACCATCGCTGTGTTACTGCAGGAACAAAGAGACTATATATGAGAGTAGTTGTTTGTTGTTACAGTGGCATTAAACATCCAAAAGTATAAAATTGGGAGACGCACCCCAGTACTTAGTCCAGTAAATATCCGGTAAACGCCCACACTGCTGATTACAGTCCTGTGTCAGCTAACAGCAGGGACGTGCTCTGAGAAATGTGTCATCGGGTGGTTTCTTCATTGTGGGAGCATCACAGGGTGTTCTTACACAGACCTGGACCTGAACGGCATAGGCCGTTCTCTCAGCACAGCCTTGTGAGGCAACCATGGATGCCGTAAACATGGGATGTATGAGGCTGCTGCCAACGTAACACAGCAGTTTTTTCTTTTTCTTTTTCTTTTTTCTTTATTTGACAGATAGAGTTAGTGAGAGAAAGAGACAGAGAGAAAGGTCTTCCTTCCATTGGTTCACCCCCCAAATGGCCTCTATGGCTGGAGCTATGCACATCCGAAGCCAGGAGCCAGGTGCTTCCTCCTGGTCTCCCACATGGGTGCAGGTGCCCAAGCACTTGAGACATCCTCCACTGCCCTCCTGGGCCACAGCAGAGAGCTGGACTGGAAGAGGAGCAGCCAGGACTAGAACCCGGTGCCCACATGGGATGCCGGCGCCACGGGCGGAGGATTAGCCAAGTGAGCCACGGCGCCGGCCCCACAGCACAGTTTTAGAGTAGAGTTATGTGTAAGTAGCAGTACCCTTTAATGATTACAAGGGCCGGTGTTGTGGTGCAGCAGCTGTTAGAGTGCCTACATTTGTGTCCTCCATTCCGCTTTTGATCTAGCTTCCTAACACACTGCCTGGGCAACAGCAGGTGATGGCTCAAGAATTTGGGTCTCTGCTACCCACATGGGAGACCAGGATGGAGTTACAGACTTCAGCCTGGCTATTGTGGGCTTTTGGGGAGTAAACCAGGACATGGACAATCTCTCTGTGTCACCTTTACAGTAAACTAAAGCAGACAAATAAAAGTCTTAAAAATAGTGATAAAAAGTTTGGTATAATAGATTCATAACCAGTAACGTGATTTTTATTGTCATTTTCAGGTGTTACAGACTGTACATAACTGTGTATCTATACTTTGTTGTGACTGTCAGCTCAGTATAGGTTTTTCCCTCCAGTGTCACCACAGACATGGGGGTCTTGTATTACACTACCATGTGACATTGTCACTGGGTAACAGGAATTCTTCTGTTCTGTTATAATATCGTGGGCCCACTGTCATGTTTGCTTCCTTGTCATTGCAATGTCATGATGAAGCACATGACCATAAAGTCCTCTTTGCACAAGGTGTTCTGTTTCTGCTATGGCACTGAAATCCATTTTTCTCAGGCATCTGGAAGTGCAGTCTCTGGAATAACAAAGTGATTTAAAGATTATTCTGCTTTTCATGCTGATGTCTACTAGGAAAAAAGAGCTGGACTGGTCAGAGACAACCCCAGAAGAAACAAATTGGGAGGGAAGATGACCTTATTTATCCTGTCACTGTCATTTGAATGATAGTTCTTTGAGGTTGAAATCATCAGTTGAACAACTTTTTCTATGAGGTAGATTAATTCTCTTCTTGTGCGTGTAATTAATGTCAAAGTTAGAATTTTCTGGGATCCGGCACCATGGCTCACTAGGCTAATCCTCTGCCTGCGGTTCTAGGCCCGGCTTCCCCTCTTCCAGTCCAGCTCTCTGCTGTGGCCCTGGAGGGCTGTGGCGGATGGCCCAGGTGCTTGGGCCCTGCACCCGCATGGGAGACCAGGAGGAAGCACCTTGCTCCTGGCTTCGGATCGGCGCAGCTCTGGCCATTGCGGCCATTTGGGGGGTGAACCAACAGAAGGAAGACCTTTCTTTTTCTCTCTCTCTCTCACTGTCTAACTCTGTCAGATAAATAAATAAGAGTTGCCTTAGTCTGTAGTAATTTAGTAATTGCCCTGAACTGTGAGTGGGAAGTTAACAAGAGACCACACAAACATGGACAGACTTAATTTAAAAACAAGTCACCGACGAAATCATATTAAAAATGTAAGCTTTTTTGCAGCAGCCTGTCTCTTGTGCTTTGGTATGCCACCTTGTAGTAAATTTCACCGGCACTGTGTTTTTTCCTCAGGTGCAGTTGGTAAATAACCGATTTAAAGGAGTCAAGTATTTCCGCCTGAACACCCTCGCCTCTCTGGGCTACGTGGTTGTGGTGATAGACAACAGGGGGTCCTGTCACCGAGGGCTGAAGTTTGAAGGCGCCTTTAAATATAAAATGGTGTGTGAGCATAAAAGCACTTTTCTTTTAAAGACATTGACATTTTCTGGTGCATTGCTTGCTGTTAAACCCCAAAGAGAGAATTGGGAGAAGGAGCAATGAGTGGGGGAGAGAGAGAGCAAGTGAACAAAAGAGAGAAAGAGAGTGTTAGTGCTTGGGGGTGGGAGGGAAGACACAACTCGGTGTTTACCAGACTAGCTCTGGTCCACCTGTGTGTATCCTCAGGGAGCTGAGAGAGGGCCCCCTGTAACACAGAAATACCCTCTTTCTGCCTTAGCCAGAGACAGCACTGTTGAGTGTTCCCTACCCTGTACGCTGTAGAGGAATAATTGAGATTTGTTCTGTCCTCTGTGAAGAGGGAAACCAACTTTTAGTGCCTTCCTTGTGACAAGCCTCTTTCTCTCTACAGGAAGCTTTAAATGCTACCTTTTAGAGATGCCCCATGTCCTTTCCGCTGCTTTGGGAAATGATGAGAACCCGATGTTCCTTTTGCACAGTAAGGCAGTTACTGTGTTTGCCAGTGTGTTGGACATGCTGAGTGAGAGATGGGGATTTTCTCCCACAGCCAGTTCTTTGACCTTATGTTGTATTCTCATGTAAGTTTTTTGATTTTGTTTTTGTTTTTGGCTCAGTGAAGTGAGACTGTGTGCACTGGCAGGCCAAGTACTATAGCAGGGTGTTAGTGGCAGGATTCAGGACTCAGCAGGGCTTTGAAGAGTAGTGCATTCAGTTTGTAGAGGTAGTGTGGCGGGAAATAGGAAGACAGGGCCTCCGCTTCACTGCACTAAGCATTAAAAAGGAGAAGTAAGATTAATGCATCTCTTAAGGGGGCTAATTTTTTGACTTTGAGTATAGAAAGGCTTGTTACAAGGAAGATGCTGACCTCTTAGCAGACAACAGAACAAATGGAAATGGGAGTACCCCAAAAGCAAGGGATAGTTTGGGTAGTAAGAGGAAACAGCTTTATGACTAAAAGGTAGTTAAAAGCTAGGATAAGCTAGCTACATAAATTTTTTAAAGTTGGGTGGGGGAGGTAAAAACACAGATATGTTTAATGAAAACATTTATCAGCTTTAAAAGTGCTCTTATAGTAAGGCTTTTATTCATCAGAATCGGTGAAATACTGTCCCTTTCTCAACAGGGTCAAATAGAAATTGATGATCAGGTGGAAGGACTCCAGTATTTAGCTTCTCGATATGATTTCATTGACTTAGATCGTGTAGGCATCCACGGCTGGTCCTACGGAGGCTACCTCTCCCTGATGGCGTTAATGCAGAGGTCGGATATCTTCAGGGTACGTGACTTCCCGTTCTACTCTTTTTTTTTTTTTTTTTTTTTTTTTTTTTTGACAGGCAAAGTGGACAGTGAGAGAGAGACAGAGAGAAAGGTCTTCCTTTGCCGTTGGTTCACCCTCCAATGGCCGCCGCGGCCGGCGCACCGCGCTGATCTGATGGCAGGAGCCAGGTACTTCTCCTGGTCTCCCATGGGGTGCAGGGCCCAAGTACCTGGGCCATCCTCCACTGCACTCCCGGGCCACAGCAGAGAGCTGGCCTGGAAGAGGGGCAACCGGGACAGAATCCGGCGCCCCGACCGGGACTAGAACCCGGTGTGCCGGCGCCACTAGGTGGAGGATTAGCCTAGTGAGCCACGGCGCCGGCCGCGTTCTACTCTTTTTTGCAATAAGGCTAGGATTTTCTGTAAATTGAGAATGTCAAAAATGCCCATTTTCTGGAGGTTTTACAGAGTTGGCAATATAATGGAATGTTAGGGTATATGTGTGTAATAGCCATGTGAAATATGTATATTTCTCAAGTGCTTTCTAAATACATACATTTTGTTTATTTCATTTATTTTTTAAAGATTTATTTATTTGAAAGAATTACAGAGTGAGAGAAGGAGAAACAGAATCGTCCATCCACTGATTCACTCTCCAAAGGGCCACAACAGCTGGTACTGGGGCTGTACCAAGCCAAAGGCAGGAGCCAGGAGCTTCCTCTGGGTCTCTCATGTGGGTGGCAAGGACCCAGGCACTTGGACCATCTTCTGCTGCTTTTAGCAGGGAGTTAGATTAGAAGTGGAGCAACCAGGACACAAATTGGCACCTACATGGGATGTGGCTGTTGCAGGCAGCAGCCACACAATGCCGTCCTGTTTACGTATTTTAAATACTTGTCAACATGATAACCAGTTAATGGTTATTTACACATTTTAGATTGTAATTATTTGGTTAGTTGATGGGCTGTGAGCTCTGAGGGCGGGGGCCTGTTTGTCCTGTATGCCACTGTATCCTCAGCAGCCAAGCAAAATGCATGGCGCACAGTAGACCTTCAGTAAGTCTGTGTTGAATGCATAGATACACACAATTCTGTAGAAAAAAAATCTTAGGAAAATATGCCAGAAGAAAATACATTAAGAGGATAACAGTTGTTAAGGGAATAGGAATTGTGAATAATAAGTAGTTTTTCCTTGTTTACTCTTTCAATGGTATGATTCTGTTTTACAGTGAAAAATAATTTTTATTTATGTGTTTATTTGAAAGGCAGACAGACATCTCCTGTCTGCTGGTTCACTCCCCAAATGCGCACAACAGCTGGGGCTGGGCAGACCAAAGCCAGGACCCAGGAACTCAATCCGGGTCTCCCACATGGGTGGCAGGGACTCAACTACTTGAGCCATCACCTGCTGCCTCCCAAGGAGTACATTAGCAGGAAGCTGGATTGGGAGTGAAGCCAGGGCTGCAGCCCAAGCACTCTGATATGGGTTACGGGCATCCCAAATGGCGGCTGAACTGCTGCCCTGAACACCTGACCCTTATTTTTAAAAATAAAAACGATAAGTTTTTTGTTCTTTATAGTAACTACAAACAAACTCTGAAAACTGCCATAATTTTCTCAGGCTTGTAGCTGTTGAGAAAGTAATTGGAATATTTATTTATTTATTCATTTTTAAACACAATTCTACCTATATTGCTTCCTTCAATACCTACTCTTTTTTTTTTTTAATGTTTATTTTATTTTTTTGAAAGAGTTACAGAGAGAGGTAGAGCCAGAGAGAGTGTGAGAGAGGTCTTCCATCTGCTGGTTCACTCCCCAAATGACCACAATGGCCAGAGCTGAGTTGATCTGAAGCCAAGAGCCAGGAGCTTCTTCTGGGCCTCCCATGTGGGTGCAGGGGCCTAAGAACTTGGGCCATCTTCTACTGCTTTCCCAGGCCATAGCAGAGAGCTGGATCAGAAGTGGAGCAGCCAGGACTAGAACCAGAGTCCATATGGAATGCTGGCGCTGCAGGCCAGGGCTTTAACCTGCTGCACCACATCGCCAGCCCCATAATTAGAATAATTGACTGTAAACTGTGTTATATTATTAACATGAAGCAAATTTTTAGAACATGCATTTATTTCCTTAACTGTTTTAAATTCTGAACTGGCAGCAGAGGCTAACAGAACAAAAAGGTGACTGCTCGTCCTGCTTAAAGCCAGGAGTTCGCACACTTTGTTTCCCCAGCCAGGCTCTAGTGCTGGCTCCTCCTTCAACAAAGAGCCCCACATTTGTATTTCAGCTAGCCCAGGTTAAGGGTTTGGTATGCAGCCTGCCTGTGGAATGTGAAACTTACTGACTCAAAAAGTATCAAATTCTTGACCTTGGCGCTCCTCTTGGATTTTCAAAGTTGCCTGGGAAGGACCATGTATGCCTCCCTAGCAGGGTTAAAGCCTAAGGATAATTTTAGCCTGTAAATTTGCACTTGTAAGTCCTCGGTGCTAACCACCCTTTTCTGGAACCCAGCTGACCGGCAGTGCTGTCTTGTGCAGGTTGCAATTGCTGGGGCCCCGGTCACTCTGTGGATCTTCTATGATACGGGATACACGGAACGTTACATGGGTCACCCTGACCAGAATGAACAGGGCTATTACTTAGGATCTGTGGCCATGCAAGCAGAAAAGTTCCCCTCTGAGTAAGTTCAAGCTTTAAAATTAAGATTATAAAACTTAAATTGTATTTTTAAATCTTATCTTTTAAATAATAATGAAAACTTCAAATACTGAAAGAACAAAATTAATATTTTATAAAAAAGAGTATGGCTGGTTCTCAAAGCTGAATTATAGGCCAGTTCATGCACTGTGATTTGTTTTTTTTCACAAGCCATATTTGAAGCTATAGCTTATGTTGAGAGAAGTTAAATATACAACTGTTTCAAGGCAGAAAAATTCTGTGCTTAAGTATGAGTGCATTTTATAAATAGTTTTTCTAGGGACATGCTGTAATTGTTGATATGTTCTAATGTTTTAATAAGAAATTGAATTTATGATCTTTTTAAATCTTAATACATGTGGCAGTCTGGTTAATATATTAAAAATTTACTATTAAAAGTATTGGATCTTTATTCTGGCGTTAGAATATAAAGAAATTATTCTAGCTAAGTATTATTTTAAAGGTTTTAAGTGCCTTTTATTTTAAGTTCCTCAAATTCTACTATTTTGTCTAATCCTCTAATATTTCCATTTCTCCAGACCAAATCGTTTACTGCTTCTACATGGGTTCTTGGATGAGAATGTCCATTTTGCACACACCAGTATATTACTGAGCTTTTTAGTGAGGGCAGGAAAGCCATATGATTTACAGGTGAGTTATTTTGCATTCTGATGAAGTGCATTAGTGATTAGTGATTGATTTCTTTGAAATCTGTAATAAACTATGGGGTAAGTCTGAATTTTCAGGTCCATGTGTCTTCTGTTCAAGAGAACTAAACTAATAGGTACAGCTCACAGTGCCTGTAGTTAGATAAAAGTTAGGATTCTGTTGAAGTCAGGCTGAAAAGCTGTCCTGTCAGTTTGCATGACGTGTATGTATGTATCCGCTTTCAGTTTATAAGCACAGGAGGGATGACCTGGAAGTCTATTCACTCCCCTTTGTTTTTTCTTCTCCCCTTTGAAGGATAAGGAAATGCCACTTGATTTCATTCTTGTAAATGAGTTTTTAGGGGCCGACACTGTGGTGCAGCAGGTTAAGCCTCTGCCTGCAGTGCCAGCATCGCCTGTGGGTACCGGTTCAACTTCGGGCTGCTCCTCTTCGGATCCAGTTCCCTGCCAATGGCCCAGGAAAGCCTCCCTACTCCTCCTGACTTCGGCCTGGTCCAGTCTCTGTCCTTGCGTCTGTTTGGGGAGTGAACCAGTGGATGGAAGATCTCTCTCTCTCTCTTTCTCTCTCTCCCCCTCTCTGTCTCTGTAACTCTGCCTTTCAAATAAATAAAATAAGTCTAATTTTTTAAAAAAGAATTTTTAGGAACCAATTTTAATTCATTTTAATTTTTCATTTGCTCTTATTTTATATTGTCATTGGAGCAGAAACTAGCAAGTTGTCCTCTGTTGCTCCATTACTCAGAAAAAGGTTTTAAAAAATTATTCCTTCTTTTCTGCTCCTTTAAAGGTTATGTGCTTAAAAAGAATGAAAAATATAGGCCGGCGCCGTGGCTCAATAGGCTAATCCTCCGCCTGCGGCACCGGCACACCGGGTTCTAGTCCCGGTCGGGGCGCCGGATTCTGTCCCGGTTGCCCATCTTCCAGGCCAGCTCTCTGCTGTGGCCCGGGAGGGCAGTGGAGGATGGCCCAAGTGCTTGGGCCCTGCACCCCATGGGAGACCAGGAGAAACATCTGGCTCCTGCCTTCTGACCAGTGCAGTGTGCCGGCCACAGTGCGCCAGCCATGGCAGCCATTGGAGGGTGAACCAACAGCAAAGGAAGACCTTTCTCTCTGTCTCTCTCTCACTGTCCACTCTGCCTGTCAAAAAAAAAAAAAAAAAAAAAGAATGAAAAATATAATGTTTCTTATTTTATATTTGAGTCAACATTTATGTGATCAAATTTTTTTTTTATTTGACAGATAGAGTTAGGCAGTGAGAGAGAGATAGAGAGAAGGTGTTCCTTCCATTGATTTACCCCCCCAAACGACCCCCACAGCCGGAGCTATGCCGATCCGAAGCCAGGAGCCGGGTGCTTCTCCTGGTCTCCCATGAGGGTGCAGGTGCCCAAGCACTTGGGCCATCCTCCACTTCCTTCCTGGGCCACAGCAGAGAGCTGGGCTGGAAGAGGAGCAGCTGGGACTAGAACTGGCGCCCATATGGGATGCCGGCGCCACAGGCAGAGGATTAACCTAGTGAGCCACGGCGCCAGCCCCCAAACTATTAGACATTTGTCTATAGCGATGATTTTTAACTTTTTAGTCTCAAGACTCCTTTCTGTAGCAAAAAGCTTTGTTTATATTATGTCTATCAGTATTTAGCACGTAAGATATTAAAACTAAGAAAAATCTTACACTTGCTTATTTAAAAATAATAATAAACTATTATCTTGTTAACCCACAAGTCACACTTTTATTGGGAAAAAAGTGTACTGTAAGGGCAGATGTTTGACACCCATATCCCACATCACAGGGCCTGGGTTTGAGTCCCAACTCTGCTCCCAACACCAGCTGCCTGCTGATATGCACCCTAGGAGGCAGCAGGTGAGGGCTCAAGTAGTTGCATCCCTGCCACCCATGTAGGAGAACTGAACTGAGTTCCTAGCTCCTGGCTTCAGCCAGGCCCAGTGCTGGCTGTTGTAGGCATTTCAAAAGTGAACCAGTGTCTCTCTTTCTCTGCCCCCCCCCCCTTTTTAAGATTTATTTATTTATTTGAAAGGCAGAGTTACGGGGGCAGTGCGGGGGAGACAGAGATCTTCTATCCAGTCTGAAACCAGGAGCCAGGAGCTTCTTCCAGATCTCCCACATGGGTACAGGGGCCCAAACACTTGGGCCATCTTCTGCTGCTTTCCCAGGCCATCAGCAGGGAGCTGGATTGGAAGTGGAGCAACCAGGACTTGAACCAGTGCTCATATGGATGCTGGCACTGCAGGTAGCGGCTTTTCCCGTTCCACCACAGCACCAGCCCCTCTCTGCCTCTTAAATAAAAACTGTGTGTGTGTGTGTGTGTGTGTGTGTGTGTGTGTTCCAGAACAAAAAATTAGTAATTTATATTTTTTATAAATTTCTTTATAAAAAAGGATTATGTCTGACTTAATAAAGAAGACACTTCTATCTCCTTCTTCTATTTCCTTCTACAGTTAATATATTGTGATAGGTTATTTTGACTAAAGTATATGAAGAAAAATTCAACTTCACAATTGAAGACTTAATTAAGAAATTAAATTAAGGAAGGAGTATTTTAGCTTTTTTGGATAACTATGGGTATTCTTTTTTGATACTATAAATTTGGACAAGTGGTATTTTTAAAAATATTTATTTATTTATTTATTTGAAAGAATTACAGAGAGGGAGAGACACAGAGAGTCATCTTCCATCTGGTGATTTATCACTCCCCAATGGCTGCGATGGCCAGCACTGGGCCAGGTGGAAGCCAGGAGCCAGGAGCTTCATCCAGGTCTTGCACATAGGTGCAGGGGCCCAAGGTCTTGAGCTTTCTTCCACTGCTTTCCAAAGCACATTAGCAGAGAGCTGGATCAGAAGTGAGCAGCTGGGACTTGAACTGGTGCCATATGGGATAATGGCACTGCAGATGGCGGCTTAACCCCTATGCCACAGTGCTGGCCCCAAGTGGTAGTTTCTTAAAGCCTTGTTTTAGAGTGGAATTAGAAGGCTTATCTATGAGGGTGCTTCAAAAAGCTCAAGGCAAGTGGGGTTGAAAGAGGATACACACTTTCTCTGAACTTTTTGAAGACCGCAGTATAAATTTTTTCTACTGTGTCACGTAAAAATCTATTGAGTGTCTTACTTGAGGCGTCATTAGTCATGTGAAAAATACTGGTTCACTGTTAGGCTAGCCTTTCATTATAAAATAATTGTTAAATATGTACAGTATCATTACTGCTGGTCTCATCAAAAAAGTATCCAGGTATTGAGAAATTCAAGAGCTAATAGTGGTAAATGCAAGTTTTCCAAAATTGTGATTTTTCACTCAGAAATTCAAGGTTTTTTTAGGATTTTTTTCTCTCTCTTTTTTTTTTTAAAGACTTCCTGCTGCTATTTTTTTTTTAATTTTATTTATTTATTTGTTTTTTTTTTGACAGGCAGAGTGGACAGTGAGAGAGAGAGAGACAGGGAGAAAGGTCTTCCTTTGCCGTTGGTTCACCCTCCAATGGCCGCCGCGGCCAGTGCACCACGCTGATCCGATGGCAGGAGCCAGGTACTTCTCCTGGTCTCCCATGGGGTGCAGGGCCCAAGGACTTGGGCCATCCTCCACTGCACTCCCGGGCCACAGCAGAGAGCTGGGCTGGAAGAGGAGCAACCGGGACAGAACCCGGCGCCCCAACTGGGACTAGAACCCGGTGTGCCGGCGCCGCAGGCGGAGGATTAGCCAAGTGAGCTGCGGCGCCAGACTATCTATCTATCTACTTACTTACTTACTTGAAAGGCAGAGTTACAGAGAGGCAGTGGCAGAGAAAGAGAGAGAAGTCTGCTGGTTTGCTCCCCTAAATGGCCACAACAGCCAGATCTGGGCCAGTCTGAAGCCAGGAGCTTCTTCCTACAGGTGCAGGGGCACAAGGACTTTGGGCTCTCTTCTGCTACTTTGCCAGGCCATAGCAGAGAGCTGGATTGGAGGTGGAGCAGCTGGGCTCGAACTGGTGCCCATGTGGGATGCTGGTGCTGCAGGCGGCGGCTTAACCAGCTATGCCACAGCACCAGCCCAGAAGTCCAAATTTTATCATTGACAACAGATATGTCAGTGTGATCCTTGAAGTGACCAACCAGCTAAGACTTCACTCAAGAGTTGAATTTAATGAAGTTCTGATTTTTATCATTATTTAAGTGAAACTAGTATCTTTCTTTTTTACTGCAATGAGTAGTGCTGAAGAAGCTGTGACTTCTGATACAACTTCATATTACTGCCATGATTCTTACTAGGGCACCGGCGGTTTTACCACCATTGCTTTTGCATCACGGGTGCAACACAGTCAATAAAGTGAATGACACAATGTGAATCAAAGCAAATAATGTCATAATAGTGTTCTGAAAATAGTTTTCTATTGTAATAGGTTTCTGAGGGCCCCTTAAAGTGCACAGACCGCACTTGATGAATGAACCATTGGTGTCCAGATAAATCCATCAGGCTTAATGGGCATATAGGGAATCAGAGAGAGGCTTTAGTTACGACGAGTTATGTAGTGCTTTGGAGAGGCTCTGCTCCCTCTTATTAATCCTGTTAAAAATCTCTGGGAAGCTTTGAAAGGAGATGTATTGTTAAATTCTTTGTCTTTCACGTTTGTTTTTGCTGTAAGATCTATCCTCAGGAGAGACACAGCATCAGAGTCCCTGAATCCGGAGAGCATTACGAACTGCATCTTTTGCACTACCTTCAGGAGAACCTCGGGTCACGCATCGCTGCGCTGAAAGTGATATAGCTTTGCCCTGTGTGGAACTCTGGCGGACGCCGCCTGTTGAACCAAATGAGGAGGTCTGATCAATAGAGAACCCAGAATTGATCATCACATTTTGGTATCTGCCACATAACATCTACTTCTGGAAGTAAATTTGGTGCCATGCAGGCGTCTACAGCTTGTGGATAACAATCTAATACCTTAACCATACACACACACAGTGAAATGATGCGTAGATTGCTAAGGGACCCAGAAATACCATGCGAATTACTGAAAGAAAGAAGACATTAGCACCACGTATCCATACCACCCTGATTTCACTTTCAATAGCATTATAAATGTCACGGACTTAATTAGTGTATTTTTACAGTATGCTTCTGAGTTTGTTAAAATATGATGATATTAGTGATTGGTTTGATTCAGTTCCAGAGTATCTGACTAGTTACAGATTCGATAGCACTTAAATGTAACTGAATAGCTTATGCTTCATTGCTTGGGGTGTATCCAGCATGGTATGAACTAATCACTATTAAACCTATGACTTGACCAGTCATTAATGATTTTTCAAGGATAACTTAGTGGCCTCCTAAAGACACTTGTTTTGGCTCTGACCAGTTTTTAGCCAATTTAAACTCTATCTGGTATAAATAATTCTCAGTTTCTCAGTTCGCTTTGAAATGACAGAGTGAGTTTTTCCTTTCACATAAAAGCAAGTAACTGTAAATGTAGCATGGATTTAATTAGTCTTATGATACTGATAATTACAAGCAAAAAACATTTTTAATCAAATGATTAGAGCTAAAATGTTTGCAGGCAAGTTTTTTTTTCCCCTCTATGAAAAGAAAAAAGTACACATTCACTGTATTCAGAAAATGTAGTGGTGCCAGATCCCATTTGGTATTTTCTTATTAAAATGCCTCAGAGATGTAGGGAGGTGGAAGGGAATCACAGTAAGGGGGGAGACCAGGGCTGGGGAGTGACCGGAGAGGCCAGGGTCTGCTCAGGAGTGAAGCAGAAGTCATGTTAACAGGAATATGTGTGGGGAGGCTGGGAAATGAAACGTAGACTCCTAGAGTGGTAAGGACTTCAGAATTAAGGATCACTCTCCTGCCAACCCAGATACAGACTACTACTCTTCAGGGGAGGAAACGTTTCTTAGGCTGACTTTAATAATCCTGATTTTTCGTTATTTTTCCTCTTAATTTTAGAAAACTTACCCATTCAGACTTTATCCTTCTTAAATTATTTGAACATAATTTAGATTTGGTGAACCTGAAATTAAGGGGTTTGCAGAGAACCTCTTCACCAGAAACTACTCCCTGGCAAGCGCGCTGTCTCTCCATGCTGGGGGCCCGGAGGCCCGGAGGCCCGGAGGCCTGGAGGCCTGGAGGCTGTCTTCCGGGCTGGCTGAGGCAGGCGGGCATTTGCCTGATGCAGCTCTAGCACGAGGGCTTTCCAGCGCTGGCTGACATCTGCCCTCGGAGGGGCTTGGGGGCCTGTGGGAGACGGGCAGGAAAGGCATCCCCAAGTTTCAGCCTGGTTCACACACTGCGGAGTCAGGAAAGCTGCTGCCAGCGCCTCCCACCATGTCAAGAGCAGCTGTGGTTTCCTTGCTCTGCGCTCCGGAGCGGCGGGTTTCTCCGGTCCACGGCGCCCTCCGTGAGTAGGCTGGGGACGGCAGAGGTGGGCGAGCCAGAAGCGACAGCGACTTGGTGACTCTGGCCCTGGGAAGGGGCGGGCTTTTGCCGTTTGTGTATTTATACTGTATGATAGATACCACACTTTTCCTTGTCTGTATATGTATTGATTTTCGTGTTTATGATAATTTTCCATATCAAGATCTGTTTATATTTTTTTCAATGTTAAATTAAATTGATTTGGGTCATTTTTCTTCCCCAAGAAAGTATTTTCCCTCATAACTTAACATACATCTGACTATTGAGGGTGGTTTTTGGTTTGGGGCGTATTTGTGTCTGAACTAGTTGGCCTTGAAGGGTCCATCCTTATATGGTAATGTCGATAGAAATGGGGTACGATGGCTCGGACACAGCCGCTCCTCTGAAACCTCTGGCCCACGAGGCCCTTGCTTCGAAACGGCCTCTCATTTCCCCGTCACGAACCTGCAGGTGTCGTCCTTGTGCACCTCTCCGTCTGTCCTCCCGTCACCAGGAAGGCGTCTGTTACAGCTCCCAGGCACTTACCTGCCACTCGGCTGCTGCAGGGCGGGAACGCCTGACCGGCTTCACTTGCAGGAACACGGCTGGACTGAGTTTGCTTTTGCGACCTGTGCGGAAAGCACCATTGTCAATTGAAGCGCTCCGTGGAAACGTCACTAAAACTGACTGTGGGTAACAGCTCGGAGACCAGAGTATACGAACCTGGTAACAGTTTGGCAAAAGCCACGAAGCACGAGGCTAACCCTGACACCAGGTTTCTGCAGGCTTGGGGAGTGAGTACACGGGCAGCCGCGCTCGGTTAGCAGCGCCTCAGAGTCGTCTGAGACGCTCCCTCAGAGAAGTGCACAGCCTCGAGCCTCACTCTTAGAAATGGGGATCCCATTGATTTGGGCGGAGACCGGGAATGTGCGTTTCTAACGGCTTTCCAGGTAATTCCAAAGCGAGCACCTGTGGACTCCTTGAAGAAACTCTGTAGAGAATAGAGCTTGAGAAACTAATGAGCGAGTTTTCTTACACTGGACTGACTGACAAGAACCTCAGACAGTAGGAGAGCTGCTGCTCCGGGCGTCTCAGTGACTGTGTGTCCCCTCTGGAGACGGCATTTTGGAATGAAGGCTTTTCCACCCGCGCCCGTCCTGGCGCCTCTCCAGAGCCTCACACGAGAGGATGACGCCACAGTGCTCGCGTTACTTCACAAGGATGGGAGAAAGGTTTTAATGCTCACGTGTTTTGTCCCTTAGGGAAGGCAAAGCCCACCTCTCGGGAACATTGTCTTCTCTAGGTGGAATATTTCTTAACGAGATTTCTCATTATTATTGATACATAAATTTTTCAAGTTGTAGTAAGTTTTTAATACATACAATCTAATGTGCTCATTTCTTAGAGGAGGAAGCAGCATTCTGGAGAGAGGAGGAATAGCCCTGTGGCCGCCGTCAGTTAGTGTTCAGTTGGTACCGGACCCCATCAAGAGGTCCTGCCTTACGGGAGTGAAATGATATATAGAAAAGGTGACTTTTTAAAGAAGTATTTATTAATATATTCCTATAAAGCATTTTAAAGGTAACCACATAAAATGGTTAATTTTTCCATTCTAAAGTAAATGCTAGGCATGCTTATTAATGAAGCAGTACTCCTAATTAGTATATGACAATTTGAAGCTAATGAAAATGGTTACACTAAATGTGTCTTCTGTGGTACAGTGGGGCTTAGGTGATTGGGGTGTAGAGCTGGGTGCTTGTTCAAGCCTGGGACCCCACCGTACAGCTGTTTGGTGTACGAAGAGACACAGCGCATCTAAACTCAGATCCGCAAGGTGAATCTCCAGTCCCAGCAGATACAAAGGAATAGGTCCGTCCCCTGACTCCCACCTTTCCCGCCCCGCCTTCCTGCCTGGCGTGCAGAGCTGTGTGAGCACGGGTGCTGGGCTCTAGGGATCACTCAAAATTCCCTCCCAGAGAAGAAAACTAGTGTTTGTATGTTTGTTTTTAAATAACCAAATACAGATTTATGTTGTATTCAGCAAAATTGGACTTCGGGTCTTTAATTTTAGACATAAAGTGCCTGCTGTTTGAAGCATTGACTTGTATAAAAGAATTGCATGTCTCACTTCAGTAAGTTTATGGGTTTTCTCATTTTCAGCTACATGGCTTTTAATCATGTAAAGTGAAACATTAGTTTTTGTTGCATTTTATTACAGGTTCTTTGTTGCAATAAAGATGCTGCTCAAATTAATTGATTTAAAGTCCGTTTTCTTCCCCTTTCCCCATTGGTGCAAGCTTGCCTTGATCGGTGGCAGTGGTGCAGGGAGTCACACAAAAGGAGGCCACGTGCGGCTCCTGCACCTGCTTCCCAGCGCCTGGCCCTGCAGGGCAGTGGAGCTGGAGCCAGCGGCCAGCACGTCCTCCTCAGGAGCTGGCGTTTCCTGGCACTGCCGCCTGGAGCTGGCGGTGGCGTCTGTGTGCCCTCCGGAGACAGGGAGTTTAGTGGACTTGTGCCCAGAGATTTCTTTGACCATTCTCTGGTTCCCTAAAGCTGTAGAGAAGGCTGGAGGCAGACGAACCCCTCTGCATTTGGTAAATTCAGGTTTATCTGCTAATCCTTCCAAAACAGGTTTAATCTGGGATCCATAACCCTCTGAGCAAATGGTGGTATATCCTGGGGAGAGCGTTGGCATTAACAGATTCTCAAGGAATAGTGATCCAAAGAAAGTTAAGAACCACAGCTGTGTTAGGATCATAAATTTTTATTTTATATGGAGAGATTATTAGGAAATAAGATGATCCTTAAGGCAATGCTATAGGTCATTGCTTTCCAAACATCTGTGGGTGACACACACAAAATCTGTGAGAGACGGGCAGGTGTGCAAAGACTGCCCGCGGCCTGAAGAGACGGGCCAGTCCCCCCCCACCCCATCTCCAGAGGTCAGTATTTCAGCATGCTCACCTTTTCACAGCACTGTGGCAGGCACCTGTGGGCCACCCTGCACTCTAACAGCCTGGGTTCATCGCTAATCCAAAAGCCAAGACATCCGAACCGTGACATGGCATGGGCTGTCAGAGGTGCAGGCTCCAGTCACTGCTCCAGAGACCAATCACAGCCTCGAAGCCTTTCCACTTGCCTTAAAAAAAATTGTTACTTTACTTGAAGGTTAGTTAAGAGGCCTTCCATCCTGTGGTTCATACCCCAATGGCTGCAATGGCCCAGGCTAGGCCAAACTGAAGCCAGGAGCTTAGAACTCTCACATGGGTGGCAGGGGCTCCAGCACTTTGGGCCGTCTTCCAGTGCTTTCCCAGGCACATCAGCAGGGAGCTGGATCAGAGGTGGAGCATCCGGGACTCCAGCCGGCAGCTTAGCACTCTGCACCACAACACTGGCTGCTCCACTTGCCTTTGACATAACCTCACCCACTTCATTGGTGAGCTGCTTTTGTGGGGAGCAGAACTGAAACAGCTACAGTATGAGAACCTCTTAATCAGAGAGTAATTTTATCCAGGGCATGGTGTGGTTTGGGGAAACACCTAAACACCTGGATGTGAGTGGTCGTCAGCCTGGTGCCCTAGCCCTGCTACCCTGGAAGAAGTGGAGCTCCTCCCACTGAAATGGATGACAAGGGTTCCAGCTCCAGTACAGGTCCTGAGATCCCTGAGGCTGCCGCTTGCGGCTTCCTGAAAGATGTTCTCTCTAAATTGGCTCCCAGCCTTGAGTGCTTGAAATAGGAATTTGGGGAAGCAGTTATCCAGGATAATTGTCCTTAGCCAGTGCCAGGAATTCCCTTTCCCTTCCCTGGAAAAACACTCAGTTCGTTTTAACATTCTGTTCAGAGGTGAAAATTCTTTGCTGGAAGTTTCTCTGGCCAGGATGTTCTGGAAACCACAGGGCTCTTCTGTAATTGGGACTGTGTATCGACTTAGTTAACGAGCTGGTACACATAGTTACTTCCCAAGAAGTATGCATTAAGTTGAGTACTTAATGATGTATTGCCTTGCCAGTTAGTTGCTTTGATTTTTGTTGTTATTGTTTTAAGATTTATTTAGAGGTCGGTGGTGTGGCATTGCGGGTAAAGCTGCCACCTGCAGGACAGGCATCCCATATGGGTGCCGATTCGAGTCCCGGCTGCTCCACTTCCGATCCAGCTCTCTGCTGTGGCCTGGGAAAGCAGTAGAAGATGGCCCAAGTCTTGGGCCCCTGCACCCGCATGGGAGACCTGGAAGAAGCTCCTGGCTCCTGGCTTCAGATCGGCCCAGCTCTCTGCCTCTCCTTCTCTATCTGTGTAACTCTTTCAAATGAATAAATAAATCTTGTTTTTTAAAGATTTATTTATTCATTTTGAAAGAGTTACAGAGAAACGGGGAGACAGATGACTCCAGGTGTCTGCAACGGCCAGGACTGGAGCAGGTGAAAGCCATGAGCTTCGTTCAGGTCTCCCATGGGGGGACAGGGGCCCAAGCACTTGGGTCATATTCTGCTGCTTTTCCCAGGCCATTAGCAGGGAGCTGGATCAGAAATGGAACGTCTGGGACTGGAACCAATGCCCATATGGGATTCCTGTGTTACAGGTGGTTTAACCTGCTGTGCCACACACTGACCCTGCTTTGTTTCTTCTTAATTCCTGTGGCTGCTCCTGTCCCACCTAGATCTCAGGATCTTTTTCTGGAGAACTGCAGCAACTCTCTACCCAGCCTGAGTTGGGAAAGAAGACTATAATCCCAAGTGACTTCAAAAATTATTTTTAAAGTTATTTTTATTTAAAAGGAGAAAAAAGAGAGCTCCCATTCACTGGTGACTCCCCAGATGTCTGCAATAACCAGGGCTGGGTCAGGAAGAAGCCAGGAGTCAGGAGCTCCATCAGTGTGTCCCCCGTGGGTGGCAGGGTCCCAAGCACTTGAGCCATCATCTGCCTCCCAGGGTGCACATTAGCAGGAAGCTGGATGGGAAGTGGAGGTGGGACTCCATCCCAACTGCTGAGCCACAATGCACACCCCCCTCCACGCTGTGACTGTAAAGAACAGTCTGCAACTTTTATTCAGCAAACATTCGTAAAAAGATTCATTTTTTTATTCATTTGAAAGGCAGAGTTACAAAGAGAAGAGAGAGCACATGTGATCTTCTATCTGCTGATTCACTCCCCAAACGCCCTGAACTGCCAGGGCTGGGCCGAAATCAGGAGCCAGGAGCTTCTTCTGGGTCTCTCACATGGGTGACAGGGGCCCAAGCCCTTGGGCCATCCTCTGCTGCTTTCCCAGGCGCATTAGCAGGGAGCTGGATTGGAAGTGGAGCGGCTGGGACGTGAACCGGTGTACACATGGGATGTTGGCATCACAGGCAGGCTGTATCACAACACTAGCCTCTTGGGAGACATTTAGTAACAAGTGTGCCAGGCCTGTGTTAAGCCTTGAAAAAGTGTAAGTGGGTGGGACACAGTTCTTACCCTCATTAGGCTCTCAGTGCCGACTCCTGCCCCACTAGCACACCGCGGCAGACACTGCCACTTCCCTAAAGCCAAGCTCATTCTTTTCGTTTGTTTGAGAGGCAGAGTGCTCCCATCTGCTGGTTCAGCCCCAAAGCCAGAAGCTGGAGCCAGAAGCCTGGAATTCAACGCAGGCGTCCCGTGGGGACGGCAGGAACCCAATGACTTAAGCCATCACCACTGCCTCCCGGAAGCTGGAGTCGGGAGTCAGAGCTGAGTAGTGCGTGCAGGCACTCCCACGACAAGGCAAGCTAATTCTTGCTGTCCTGCTCCAGCTCAGGGGGCGCTGCAGTTTCTGCTGGAATCCGAGTTCTGCCTGACACTGAAGGCCGCGTATCACCTGGCCTGGCCTCGCCCTCCCTCCCCTGCTCTTCCCGGCTGCACACGTGCCGAGGCTGTTCACGTGCCTACAATCACCCCGCGGTTTTCCTCCACTAGGCTAACGCGTGCTTCTGAGTCACAGCGAGCTTCCCTTGCGTCCCTCTACAGAGCTCAGGAGGGAGAAGACCAAAATGATACCGACGCGGGCTTCGGCACCTGGCTTTCACCTTGCCTCTGCTACTTGCCAGCATTATGGGTTTAGCTAAGCCTGCTCACGTCCTAGCTGAGACAGCAACAACAGCAGAACCTTCTCAGCAGACGATTACATCCATCGTTCTACGTAAAGCACGTGCTGCCCCGCACACAGAAAAGGAACTCAGCAAACGTGGTCTCAGAGTTAGCGTTTAATTTTCTAGCTATTCCCTGTTTCAAAGATTGGTTTGTGGCCGGCGCTGCGGCTCACTAGGCTAATCCTCCACCTGCAGCACCGGCACACCAGGTTCTAGTCCCGGTCAGGGCGCCGGATTCTGTCCCGGTTGCCCCTCTTCCAGGCCAGCTCTCTGCTGTGGCCAGGGAGTGCAGTGGAGGATGGCCCAAGTGCTTGGCCCTGCACCCCATGGGAGACCAGGAGAAGCACCTGCCGTGGCGGCCATTGGAGGGTGAACCAATGGCAAAAGGAAGACCTTTCTCTCTGTCTCTCTCTCACTGTCCACTCTGCCTATCCAAAAAGAAAAAAAAAAAAAAAGATTGGTTTGTTAGAAAGATGGAATGAGAGAGAGACAGAGACAGAGATCTTTCCCCTAAATGGCCCCAACAACCAGGGCAACAGCCTCAAGTCTCCACCTGAATGGCAGAAACCAGCCTGAGCAATCTTCCACTGCCTTCCCAGGTGCGCTGGTAAGGAGCTGGATGGGCACATGAGCAGCCAGGATTTGAACCAGCGCTTTGCTGTGGCATGCCGGCTTCACTGGTGGCGACAATGGACAGCACCACCACACTCACCCCTCTTAAACCTGTTTTAATTCTCCCCATAATTACACACGTCCGACCAATCAGAGTCAGACATAATGGAATCACCAATACACGGATGCCAAAAAATCTCCAAAGGAAAAATATTTGACCTCCCCCATTTAAGGGGTGCTCACAGGTTCCCAAGCACTCGTGTCCTTGGGATCTGTGTTTTTTTTTTGTTGTTTGTTTTTTTTTTTTTTTTTTTTGTCCCCCACTGAGGCAAAGGTACTTCCGGCTTCGGTTGCTGTTACAATTGCCTGGGGAGCTTTGAAAACCGCTGATGGCTGAGTCTCTCCCAGGATCAATTACATCAAAATGGGGCGGAGGGGTCCTGCCCTGCTTTTAATTTTTTTACAAGCTCCCTAAGTGGTCCTAATGTGCAGCCTGAATAAAGAGTCTCTGCGGTCGAGGCAGGCGAGAGCTTGCGCACGGC